CTATATGGCTGATATTTACCTCCTCACAGCCAGCAGATACTATTCAGCAAAATGAAGATCAAATAAAGCATATGAATACACGAGCAATCAAAACATGTTCGAGTTGTTTACTGTCCCATAGAACACTCAGTAATATACCTAAAACACATTAATTATACCAACTCTAGAAATTAGGTGTTCACATCATGAGTTTGTTTTATGGTTTGGTTTATTGAGATTACAGCAAAGCACACTAGGGCTATCTGCCTAAGGGAAGGGATGCCTTCGGGGAAGACTTTCTAAGGGAAACTGGCTCGTATACATGTTACACATGGGGAAAACCACGAAAGCGTCCATGCAGCCAGCCCATTCGCGGGATTCGAACCTCGGACCGAACTACCAGTGTTCAGCGACTTTACCGCTCGGCTGCTGGTGGGCTCAGTTGGTTTTATGTGATTACCGCAAAGCCTCGAGGGATAACAACAGGAGGGATCCCTTTGTAGAAGATTTTTTAAAACTGGCTCATATACCAGTTACAAATGGGACAAACCAAAGAAACGTCATGTAGCCAGCCCGTTCGCGGCATTCTAACCTGAGACAGAACTACCAGTGTTCAACGACGCTTCGGCCACTAGTAGGCCTGTGCACTTGATTGGAAAGTGCAATTCATTATGTAAACAGACATGAAGGTGATAATCAGTTGTGCGCTGTTTTAATTAATCAAATGTTATAAATGCACAGCTGTTACATTTCTTATTATTTATTAGTCATGTTTTTATTACGTAGATCATACGTATGCTATAATTATGAATTAACCCAATAACAAAATGTGTACACTCTTTAGTACTCAAATACTCATCAATTATTTTTCAACTGATTATTACATACCCATAATAATTTGCAAAGAACTGATAACTATAGTTGCTGCCAATTACATAATCGTTATCTGAATTAAAAGTAACTTCAAATAAACTTCTTGGCAATGTTCATTTTTGTATTCATACATACATATATATATATACACATCTAATAAGTCATATATTTACATACAGATAGAGAGAGATGTGATGTTTTAGAAGTTGTTAATATATATTTATTAGTATTAATGTAATGAATAAGATTTATATTAATGAATGTATATACAAATGTTTTTCATCATGCATAATAATAAATCCATAAATTTTCAATGTTTCAATATGTAGCATTTACAATAAAAGTATAGTTTCTAATGTATTTATAATTCAAAAAGTATTTCATTAATAACATGAAAATAATAGTATTCTCATTATTACATAAGCTATGCTTTTCTTTTTTATGCATCTTTTATGCTGTTTACAATGTGTCACTGATTATGCAGTTAACAATTTAAAAGGTAAGTAATTAGGAGAAAAGCTGCACATATACAAACAAATTTTAAAAAATTATTCAACTTAAATTTAAGAAATAAAATTCTATTATATAACAGTGTTATAATACACGATCAGCATGAAATACGACAAATTTGGCGAACTTTTGGCTACGAACAATTTGTAAACAAATCCGAAATGCAAGAACGTCGTAAAATACTGTCAACTCTGAAATTTCCACGATTATATATTTAATGAATATATACACATTTAAAAAATGACTCAGGTAGTTGTATTACAACAAAACAGCAATAATTAAATCGGCCTCTATTTCCACCGTCCATCACTTCACAGTGAGAGCCATCGCCATATTGAAAGTTACCCGTGATCCTTCAGAAGCTGACCTTTCGTCTGATTAGTTGAACGTTCGAGGAACACGTCTCCAGCCGGAACATTTTGGGAAAAGTTTTAAAATGTTGCTTGTAGCCGGGACACGTTCCTACTAGCTAGACGAAACATTTCTCAGAAGCCTGGCGCTTAAAGCCGTGCTACTAGAATCTCGTTTCTCGGAATTGTCCCGAGTAAGTGCACGCGTCTATAGATGTGATAACAGCATTACTGCAAGTAAAGAACTCTCATTGTACTGTAGAAATACAGAACATTTCACTACTTTACTGTGTACAAATGCTGATGGTATGCAAAAGATAGTTATAGGATAGTTATAGTCACAAAAACCAGGGTGCTTCAAAAATGTTAAAACTCTGCCATTAGACTATAAAGGAAATAACAAAGCATGGATGAATATGGACATTTTTACAGAATAGCTCAAGAAAATAAATGAAGCTATGAGAAGACTAAACAATAAACTTTACTTTTTATGGATCTTTGTGCTGCCCATTCTCAAATGACAGATTTCTTGCAAAATGGGAAAGTTCTTTTCTTCCCAGCAAATTGCCCTAGTGTAGTATATCCTTTAAATCTGAGTGTCATTTAGAATTTGAAAACTTGAATTGATTTGAAAACAGGCAAAGGGTGATTCAAATAGCCCTTCAAAATACAATTACAGGAAATAAACAGAAAAAAAAATAATATTCTTGAGACTATGAATATGATTTTGCTTGCCTGGATTCAAGTAAAATCACAAACAATTAAAAATTGCTTTATCAAATGGGATTTTCAAACCCAAATGAAAGTGTTGACGAGGAAAATGATGATAAAACTGTGATTATGGATGAAGAATATTGGAAACTACTGATATTAAACATCTCAGTTTGAGGAATATGTAAACTGTGGTGCCAATGTAATGATGTCATACTTATATACAGTTACAAAACTGATTGAAAAATCTTACCAGATGAAGAAGAAAATAATAAAGATATAATTCCAACTTTCTTTTCAAAATGCTATCTACTCCATTGAGATCCTCAGAAATTTCTGTGTGTGTAATAAACAAGTGAGAAAACATTTCAAGAACTGAATTCGATTCATAGCACTTTGCTTAAGATTCAAAATCAAAAGACACATCAGATGACAATTAGAGATTTTTTTCTTTATAGTTAAAAATATGCAAAAAATGCTCTTTGGAAAAAAAAAAAGGGAGGATACTTATTCAAGACAATAACTCAAATAAAGTTATGACTTTTTTAACTGATTTTACATAATTACATAGAGAAATTTGCATTCTTATGATTTAAAAAATATTAAATTTCTTTTAATATAATTTTTAAGATATTACAAAAAAGAGGCTCGGTGGCCCAGTGGCTGTGGCATGGTGCAGCAGCACCACAGGCCCGGGGTTCGAACCCTGGGCTAGGCAAGGTCGACTCAGCCTATCATCCCTTGATTTCCAGACCCGGGGGGGGGGGGGTCCTGCGACAAGCTGACCACTTGTTCAGGGCATATGCTTACGCACCCCAGGGCCCACAGTCAAGAAAGCAGATTTCGGGGCACTGCAGGCCTTGGCCCATTAGATCTGTTTGCACCACTGAGTTTAAGTTTTCATTACAAAAAAAAAAAAAAAATTGTTTAGTTGTTTAAAATATTAATTTTAAATTCATTTAAAAATGTTCATCTTTTATAAACAAATGGAAAGTAGGATAGTAAAATTCTGTAATATCAGTAGTACTTTAGTTGTATCAAAATTGTGCAGCCAATATATATATGTATATACAGTCAAAAGTTGTTAATTCGGACGCCCATAATCCGGAATGATCTATAATCCGGACCTCAAAGCTACAAACTGTCTGCGCATGTGTCGGGTTGACGCATGCGCGTAAGACTTTTACGGCTGCGAATATGCATGTGCGCATGCGCGTAATACGTTTACGCTTGCGCGTTTAATGTATAACGGACGGTGTAAGCTAAGCTAAAATTATCTAATTCAGTTAATGTTGCAGATTGCATTGTTCCTGAATCTTCGAATTGGATCCGGCTTATTATTTTTTGCAGACTGTTAGAGCAATTTTATAAAAGTAAGCTTGAACTTTTGATTATGTCAAATAGAATTTCCGATATATATTTACTAATACGTAAAGGATCTACAAAGCAAAAGTATGTTTAGAAGTCCATTAAGCAAAAAGTGCAATTGCTGCAAAAAATGGATAAAGGCATATCCTTCGTTTCTCAAACCATTCTGAAATCTGTTTATCAATTTCACGCTCTGCGGCCCTGGGGGGAAAACGCCGAAACGTCGCGCCGCGCAATGAATTGGAAGTTAATCTGTCAGCACTATCCTTATCTTCAGGGAAGATGTTTTTATTTTATTTCGCTTATAATTCCTTACTAAATGTAGTATTTCATCTCGATGTACTCCGTCTTTGATATGATTTAAATCAAATTCCTCGTCATTATAATTCGCTTCCGATAAAGAAGAAAGTGATACAGAGGTTATTGAAAACGAAAATATTTCGATTGACAAATTAGTCGGTATTCTCGACACAGCAATTATAGGACTTTAACAGCGGAACTTTGTAACTGAAGAAGAAATTATATCTGTTTATAGAATTAAAGAGAAAGTATTATCACATAAAACGAAGCAACTTAAACACCTTACATTGAAAGAAATGTTTAATAAAGTAAACAAATAAATATTAAGTTTTTTTTTCTTGCAAATTTTGATACCCTTTAGATCATAATTGTTCTTTATTTCATAAATTACGGTTTAAAATTCATAAAATTCATATTATTTCATAAATTACGGTGAAATTGTAAAATATTTTTAATTTTATAATTTCTGCATGCCATCTTACCAGATTTAAACTGATGATCTATAATCTGGAAATATCGATAATCTGCAATCGCCTAAGTCCCAACGAGTCCAAATTAATGACTTTTGACTGTATATGTTTCATATTGTTTAAAGTAAAGTTTTGTTTATATGTCTTTTTTCATCATTTGTGAATGGTCCCTTGAAAAATATATAAGCAGTGCTCCTCTGTAATTAATTAGCAATCTAGAATGGATCTAGAGACATTTCTGATTCCCTATGCTTTTAATTTATTCTGCATAAAGTAATCATAACATATTTAAGATGTGTCTTTAATAATCTTTGTATAAATTTGAGGTTTTTTTTAATATAAAGTGTTCATCATCAGTATTATAATTAATTCATAATCATTTATATATAGTTTATTAAAATTAGTATGTTTATATATTATTTTCCCCCTCTCTCCTCAGGACTCTTGCTGCTCTTTTATCAGTATTTGCAAAATTTAAAAATCCAAAAGCTATCTATAAGACTGAAGAACTACAAAAATTGTATAATGAAGTAAGTAAAGTAAAAACATTTGTTGTATTTTTTCATCTGTGGTTGTTATAGGTGATAGGTGTATCTTAAAGATGTTGCTTAAAAAATATTCATTAATATTTTTTTTTTTTTTTTTTTTTTTAAGTTACTCAGCTATCATGATCCAGATATTCAGAAGCTTTCTTTTGATTGCCTAATGACATATAATTACAAGTATTTGGTACCATATAAGTAAGTTTATATATTTGAAAGATTTTTTTTAATTAAATCTTGCAGTCTGTTATTTAAAATTCAGTTAAATAAATGTAATAAATATCAAACAGTGTCTCTGCAGTACTTAATTTGTGTCCAAAATGAATTTTTTAACAATTAAAAATATTTACGTATACATCTGTATTAGTGGTTTTCAAACCTGAACTTTGATGGACTGAAGAAGCATATAAAAACTACAAATATATTTGTAAAACACCTACCATTTTCAAACTAAATGCTGAAAAATGATTTAAATAACTGAATATTGCATGCATTCTATACATAGTCATTACTTCATTTTAATTTTTTTATTAAACAAACTGAGCGCTTTTCCCTAATGTAGTTAATATGCATTACAACATTATGTAAGTTTTTTGCTCGCATTTTATTTTAAATGAATATCAAAATCTGGTTCTTTTGATATTGTTTGTGTATGCATTTTGTAGTTGGTATCCAATCTTTTTCATTTTGTTTTGATTTTTGCTGTATTTGCTGTATTTGGAATTTTGCTGTTCTAATATCATTATCATTATTAAATTGCTGTATTTGCTGTATTTGGAAAATGAATTTTTGACCTAAATTGTTTAGAAATGTATAGCTTCTCTTACAAACACATAGATAGATAAATAGTTCTTCCGTGTTGTTCTCCAATTTTCTGTTTTTACAATGATTAAATGGTATCATATTCATAAAAGCAGGTTCATTTCATATTATTTTATTTAGCAATATGAATAGAAATAAAGCCACCCAGACCGGTATAGTGGTTAGGAGAACATACTGTGGTACTGAAGGGCCCGAGAGCCATTCCTCCATGAAATCCATGGACAAGACAACAACAATAGAAATGAAAATATTATTTAATTATTTTGCATGTTCAGCTATGTCATCCACATGGAATTCAAAAATTCTTTCAAATTTTCGTTTTGATTTGTGAGACCCTTAGAAATATTGCTTGGAACCACAGAATTCTGTAGAATATTGTTTGAGTACTACTGATGTCCATGACATGAAAAGTAAACAGGAATTATGAAAATTCCTAATTTTATAAACTAAATTTTGCTTTGATATGAAGCAGCTGAAAATAATCATGCTGTCTTTACTGTATAAATAGAACTTGCTGATAAAGATGTTTTTTTGGGGGGTGGGGGTTAAAAAATTCATTTTTGTTATTAAAGGCAAATTACCTATTTGTTGTTTAAATAAGATTTTTTAAAAATATGAATGCGTTATTCAAGGGCATTAAATTTTTATCATTACTTGATATTCTTTTGATGCATGGGGAAAAATTTTATCTATGATACAAATGACATAATTTTTTTCATTAATTGTTCAATAGGTATTGCTTCTTTGTTATTGTAATAAACAAGTACTGTTCTAATATCATTATTATGCTATGAAAAGTGTCAACAGCTTCTTGTTTTATAATTTGCATATTTTAGATATATTTATAAAGAGTATTTTGCTGGATTGTATTTTTTGTGTCTTTCTTGTAGAGATAATTTCTACAGAATTTTGGATAACAAGACATTTAAATCTGAAGTCGTATTGTTCAGCTTAGATACTGAGAATCATGTTATTCAGGAACAACACAGGATAAATGTTCTACCAGTTTTGATGAGGTTTGTAATTATTTTGCTAATATTCATTTCTATCTCTTATTGATACAAGAAAATTTCTGTTATCTTTTTGTAGTGTAATCCCGTTATCTATCTTCTAAATATAACTACATAAAAATTATTTAAGCTTTAAAATAATAATTTGTCGTTTTGTTCCATTATGCTTATTAGTTTTCAGAATAACACACATGAATAAGATGAAAGGTGAGCATTTTTATTAGAAATAAGTTATTTTTAAAGGTATGTGTAAACAATCATATTTAAATATAATATACCAGTTATTTTTCATCGAGTGTGATTTATATGCTTTCTGTATCATATTCTGAAACTGAAGGTTCTTGGAAATCACTTGTTTTAAGTAATGTATTTATCTGAGTTCTAATTTCATTGTACATATACTGTGTAGCAATGGTAAGGGAAAATGATAAACTCTTTAATGTGAGGTATGTGTTAGAAATGTATTTTATTATTCTTTTCCTTCCTTATATTCATTCACCATTAGTCAAATTTTGCAGAAATTCATACAAATAATTTCTGTTTTGTTAAAAACAAAGAGAAGCCTTCCCAACTTCCAATGCTGTTTTATTGAAATGTTTTAAAATTTGTAATGATGCTTATATCATCAAGAGTTATGTGCTCTGTTATCAGGCAATACTAAAGTAAGGATTTTAAAGTATGTAGAGGATTGCTTGTAAAACTGAAGCTTGCCAGAAACATTTTACATACTGCTATTAAAAATATAAATTCCATTAGTGGAAAAAGTATAGCATTTAATAAATGAAGGAATAGAAATTTCAGATACTTGCCAAAGAAGATGGTTGTAAAATATTTACAATTCGTAGGAATATTTTATTTAGCCAAAGGCACTTTAATGTAGACTCACTTAATACTCAACAATTTAATATAAGTTTTCAGTGAATACAGTGTGTTTTAAAACTCTACATGAAGTCTTGAAATGAAGGCAGAATACAATGGTATGAACCATATTCATGTAGTAAAGTGTTTCGCTATATGATTAAGCTTGTCATCCACAGAATACATAGAAACAAAGTCGCAATAAGAAAATAATGTAAAGTGCTTTGTTAGGCAGCATTTAACAGTACATTAATTAGTAAACATTGACTGTGGTGTTTGTGCCTAATATCAATGCCACAGAGATTGCTGAACATTTTCAAAGTATCTGCAGTTTTGCAGATATTAGCAGTAGCAATTCTTGCCATGAGCTGCTGGTCAGAAACAGTGTGCTTTTTGTTCACAGTGACCTTGAATTGCTGCCATAGAATCAATGCGAGATAAATCGGTTGAATGAATGTGGGGGACCGTGCGATAGGTACACCATTAGCAATGCATCGATTTCCAAAAATCAAGTCCAAATACTCACATAGATGAATGGCATAATGGGCTGAATTTCTGTCATGTTTTACCCACAAACACAAGGTCGTAGATGTTGATGCAAGTTTGTAGAAATATTCAGTAAATCAGCAGAACCTTCATCAGGCGCATCTCATGCTTCGGGTGGTAACAGATATATAGGCTGACAGTTATCTACAATACCTTTCCACATATCAGTGATGAAATGGAGTAGTGTGGCATGAGTTTTCTTTAGCCCACATGTGTGAAATGAGATTGAAGACTCCTTCACAGGGATCCTTCGTCCATGAACAGAACAGAACAGAACTTGAAAATTCCTGGTTGCCTGCATTTTGCGACATCGTATTGCCAGGTTTCCTGCAACATTTGACAAATGTCACTTATCATTGATGATCTTTTATTTTCAGTAACTGGATGTATTGCTGATGAAATGAATTTAGGGTCATGATGTGCACAACATGCCATAATGCTGGCTTGAGATACTCCCATTGCAGCAATAGCTGCATATCTGCTTGTCTTTGAATTATTGTCAGCATTATGCAGCACATCATCTTCCGTGCCTGTAATTCAGGTCAGTCCTGGCTACCTGCCATCCTGCATATGCATAAATTAATATGCAAAGTATTTGTAAACAAATACAAATTGTTACCCAAAAATATCCCAAAGGATCCATATTCGCACAGGTTCTTATGCAATTGCCCAAACATACATGTCTAGCTGAGCACCTTTCCCAGTACATTCTTATGATGGGCTCATCGCTTATTGTCTGCTAACCCAATAACCCAGTCATTAAATATGTGTCTACTAATTTAGCATTTGTAAAACAATGCATGTTCTGTGTATAACACTGTAAGCTTTAATGAAGTAATCTTAAGAATTAACATAAAACAAGAGCTCACAGTGCCATTTACCTGCTTCAGACTTTAATTTCTTATTTCAGTATAGTTCCTATTGATATTCTTTATCTGCCTTATATCTCCTCTGCATATATGTGTAGAGTTGTGTGTATTGAACAACATTTGTACATTATATTGTAAAACAACTGAGTGTATTAAACAATTGTAATTAGAGTGGGAGGAATTTCTACTGAGTAGAAGAAAACAATTCTATATTAATCCATGCTTTGGAAAATAGGATAAAATAGCATTCAATACCTTAATCAAATTTATCTGAAGATTGACTTCTACAGTTGTGATTTAAAAATAATTGTTTTATATTTAATTATTCTTCTAATGATTAAGTGAAATGAAGAAGTAATTTCTAAGTATGAAATTTAGATACAAAAGTTTTAATTATGCTATAATCTATTTATTTAAGATACATCTAAATATGTAAATTGCAATAATAATTTCATTCTTCTGCCATTTAATGCTTTAATGGGCTAGCATATTGATAAAAGATTTCTTTGCCAGCTTTAGTAGAAAGTCTGTGGTTATTAGAACTTAATTGAAAAATATTTTCTCCATATGTTTTGATAATTTTCCATGTGTATGTGTAAATATGTGATGTGCCTATCTTTTAGCTTTCATGCTGAAAATTAAAATTATGTTCCAAAATTAGCCTTGAACAAGAGTAGTTTATTCTAAGAATTACTAAAAGTAGGATTTACTGAATTACTAGAAGGGAACGAACTGTAAGGTAAAAACATTTATTTTATAATTTTCTCCATGGTAGTAATAAATTAATTTTTAATATTGAAAAAAATTAAATAATTGGCATATTGTTTTGATGTGATTTAATGAAACATTTAACTCAACATGAAACTTTACATATTTTGTTATAGAATTATGTATGGGAAGATGCTGTATAAAACTGGTAATAACACAACTGGAAAGTCACAAGCCCAAACAAGAAGATCTCTTGTACTTCGCTTTTTGGCTGGATGCAAAGCTGAAGAATTAAAAATGTTTTTTGATCTTGTTTTCCTGCCTTTTAAAGAACAACTGAAGGGTTTGTATTGTGAGGTCATATAATTGATTATTTAAAATTTGAAAGTTTAGTTTTCATTAATTTTTCATTCTGTCCCTCTTGTTTTTTTATTCTAAAAAGAATTCCCCTGATATTTTAATATATAATGGATATAGAAATTTTCTATTTCCATTACAGTCAACAAGGTGTTAAAAAAAATTACTTCAGTTAACATTACTTTTCTTTTGTATTTCACTCATACTGAAAAGTAGAAATAAAATTTTTTTAATTATTCCTAGCATGTACACTACGCGAAAAAGGAGAGACAGTTCTACATCTCCCGATGTACTGGGCCAATTGACAAAATTCAAATTGTGTTTTTCATGTCTCGAAAGTGCGACCTGCGATATGTATTAGATTTATATATAGTACTTTTCTAACATAAGTATTTTGACACAAAATCGGACTTTTTCTGAAATAACATACCAATTTTTTTTACATATTTCGATTTTATGACTCAAATTATGCCAGACTGCCAAGTTTTGTAAAAATCGTACAAGTAGTTTTGAAAAACTTAGCTTTCAAAATATTAACTTCTCAATATTAATTGAATTTGGCATATATTTATTAATATCTCTTTTTTTTTTATTAAACTTTTTTGATTTTTCCTTTCACATTTCGAAATTTAGGTTCATTCCAAACAAAATTCATCAATTTTTTGTGTTTCATTTTTAAAATTTCTATTTTTAAATAATTTTTATAAATTTTTCGAAAAAATTTTTGAATTATAACCTATAAAATTTTTACTGTCATCTTAAAGTAGGTATCGTTCTAAGCATAGCTGCAAAAAATTAGTTTTTTATTCAAAAGTTTCTAAGATATGCACGAGTTTACATATTTTCGCATTTTAAAATTTGGCATCTCCTTTTTTTTTTTTTTTTTTTTTTTTTTTTTTTTTTTTTTTTTAAAGCGATAATAACACTAAATGTGGTTTATGGATTTTTGTTACTGTGAATTGCCACAGCTGTTTTAACCCTTAAATTTCAAATAAATTTTTATGTAGAATTGATTATATGAAATTTTTTCCCCTCAATGATGAGTAATAAATATTTATTAATACTATATGAAAAGCTATTTTTTTAATTATAGATGATATTATTCAAATTCTTAACTTTTTTTTATATTTCTTTCTTTCTTTCTCCCCCCCCCCTTTTTTTAAAATATTTGTAAGAGTAAATTTTTACCTTTGCCGTATTATTACCTGCTACTTCACTTTGCATTTAAATTAAATTGTCTAAAACTGAGAAAGTTTGTTTGATGTTTATTTTCACAATGTTTTTAAGCAAACAGGACGTTGACAGTTTGGGTCATGTCCCAGCTTTAAAAATTATATATATATAAGTATGAATTTTTACATTAATCCTTTTGAAAGAATGTTTAAAGTAGCTAATTTTCTCTCGTGTTATAGATTGTATAAAAAACATAATCTTTAATATGATTTAGATTGTTTGTAGCCGATATAAGAATCGGGTCACTCAGTGGTACAGAATAAACATTGCTGAACTGTTTTATTTCTTTGCCATTTAACGAAAAATCTTTTAATTAAAATATTTATCCTTTGGACTTTGCTTTAAACTTTATTTATAGTTAAAAATACCTAGAAAATAAAAAGCTGTCTTCAACTCAAATGCAGTTAATGTAACTGATATTTTTTAAAAAAATGACAAGAATGCAAAATTTATGGAAGTGTAACAATCGAAAAATCTTAATTTTCTTGTGGTGAGCACTGAAAATAAATCTAGAAGGAAAGAAGAAAATTAGGGAGAAAAGTAAGCAAAAATTTGAAGGGGAATTTGGCTGTCAGAAATACCAGGGTATTTTAAAATGTTGGATGCTTTTGAATATACTTTCAGAATACTTCAAGGAATTTTGGTGTTCAAAGAGAAAAGACTTGGACATGTACCATTTAGAAAATACCATCAATTGAACTTTTGCTAACAGAAAAGACCAAAACGATATCATTGCAGATTAAAGTGAAGAGCAACTGGTTTTCGACTATATGTTTGTATAAATTTAAATTACGGTATAGAACATCATATCATCCTAAGTGGAGAATCCCATGATTTCTTAGTCAAATCATTTGAATATTCAGGAATTTATCCAGTGATGTATGTGGATGTCACCTAAATACATTTTCCCTTTTAATGAAACCAGTTTTTCCTTTCATCTTATGCTTTCAAAATGCTTAGCCTCTAAAGACTGATAAAGGCTCTGACCAAATACTGATGAAATGGATTGAATTGGATTATTAAGTTACGGCAAAGGAAGGCTATCTGCCTAAAAGGAGGGATGCCTTCATGAAGAACTTTCTAAGGAAAACCAGCTGGCATACACATTACAGTGCGAAACACTGGAGCGAACTACCACTGTTCAGCGACTTTAACCTGGGAGGACGCACGCTGTATTACGTAACACTAGAATGCGCATGGGATGTCAACACACCCCAAGCAATTAAAAGACATACAAATTAAACATTAATCATTACAATTCAGTAAAAGAATGCATTCTATATTAATTGCAATATATTTATTACATAAAATAGCTTAAAATAATTCTAATTTTTAAATTAATAACAAGTAGATTTTTTTTTTTTTTTTTTTTTTCAGATGTCTAGAAATGTCTATTTTTTATTTTTAAATGCAATTATAATCCAAATTATGCAGAATTATTGTGTGAACAACGAGTTATATAATTAATATTGAAACCAAGTAGGCCCAAGAAGCATTAGATATTTTGTAATATACACATGAAGCATCTATTTCACAGTGCTCTTGACATATGTTTTTTGCACTTCACACGTATAGTTTTTGATTTTCTGTCTTTTTTCCCTTGAGCACATGTAACATCTCCTGTATTATATTTTGTTTTCTCTTTTTTTTTTTTTTTTGTGGTTCATCAAATCATTTTCTGTAAGAAATTGGCCAATTCGTAACTGGTATACTAATTGTCTGTGATAATGTTTCTTCCAGATTTGTATAATGGAGCCAAGAGCACTTTGCTATTTCACTAGAACTGCTGACTTTCTTATACGGCCCATCTGGCTACTGACATGCGTAAATTTCCATGTTAAAAGCATAGACGGTTCTAGAGTCAACCATAGCAAATATCTTTATACCATATCTTGCAAGTTTCTTATATACTGCCGAAAGGAGCATCATCCTCGAAAAGGACACCCCAAACTATTATTTAAACAACAATAAATGCTCAAAATTTGCCGTTTCCTCTCGAGACGTATAGAACATGACCTTGAAGGCAGCTACTGATGCATCTAAGCATTTCGGATTATGTGGGGAGATTGCCAGCGAATTTGTTTGAGTGTGGGGTGCCGAAACACCCAACGCGCGTCTTCCCGGGTTAACGCTTGGCCATCTGTAGGCCTTTATGAAATGGAAAGCAATATATATTTTTTTTTTTAATGAATGTCAGAAATACCAAGATGTTTCAAAAAGTTGGATGCTTTTTAATATACTTGTGGAATGCTTGAAGAAAAAGAGCAAGCCATTAAGAAGAAGGGGAAAAAATTGCATAAAATGTAGTACCTTTTTTTTTTTTTTTTTTTTCAAATTTAAAACTTTTTAATCTTATGATATTTGATTCTTGTGATTTCAAAAATAAAATATTTGACTAAAACATGAATAACATTTTAAGAAACTAAATGTAGGATGATAAAATTGTGTAAAGCAATGAGCACAATGTTAAAGCTATTAAATGCAATATATGCAAGTCATCTGAAGTTAAAATGTCAGGTATACATCTTTCTCATTTATATATCTTTTCTGAACGGAACATCGAAATGCGTGGTAACTGTGCTTTACTGTATTTTCTCTTTTAGTATATTAAGTTTTCAGATGCATCGTAGTCTGTGACACAAAGTATTCTTCTGAAAGAAATACAATTCAAATAATTAAAATAAAATCCTGAAAAAATTATATTAATAAATACATTTCAAATGCTCAGTTCGAATGAATAAACAGAAAATTTGAAGAGACAATGCAACACAAACAATTAAAATAAAAGTCCAAAAATTTAAAAATTACCTGAAATAATAACTGCAACAAAAAAAAATTATATAAAAAAAAAACTATTTGAAAGAAAATAAACGATGCACCTCATATTTAAACTACGCAGTTCGAATGGGTAAATAGAGATTTTTAAAACAGTTATTCGGAAGAAACCATGCAACTTAAACAATAAAATGAAATTCAAAAACGAAAAAACAAAATTTAAAGTATTAACATAAAAATATAATGTAAAGAACATTATTTGAAAGAAAGAACGTTGTGATTTTTTTTTCCTCTCCTGGGAGAGGAAAATATGTTGCCATATATTAAGAAGTTCGTCAAGTGAACTATTCTTGGCGCAAACTGAAAAAAAAATCACCAATGTGAATTTCTCCGTAAATTTCACACCAAACTTTACAAAATTTCATATTTGGGCATAATTTGAATTGTAGAATCGAAATATGGAAAAAAAATTGGTATGTTATTTCAGAAATAGTCCTATTTCATGTCAAAATATCTCTGTTAGACTAGAGTTATATATAAATCTAATATATATCCTAAGTCGCACTTTCGAGACATGAAGAGCACAATTTGAATTTCGTCAATCAGCCCAGTAGAACAGGAGACATAGAACTGTCCCCTCCTTTTTTTTTTTCGCAGTGTACATAAATAACTTCTGGTGAGTACTTACAGACTTTCAAAGGAGAATTAGCAAAATGACAGAAAAACCAAGTGTAGCAGATAATTATTAGTATGGCTAGAAAAGATTTTCTTCTGTGGTTAAAAAATTATTCAATGTAAGTGCAAAACTGTTACGTCCCCTTCAAAAACATCTAGTTATTTTTTTAATTGTATTATGACTTTTTCATAATATTTGTAAAGTATGAGGTATAAATGCAACAATTCCCCCCTAAAATGTATACAAAACCATGTCAGTTTAAGTAGCTCATATATACATGGTCATTTCTGTTTCTCTTTTTTGGGGAAGCAAATTCAGATTTCTGTTGTCTATCAGAATGCTGAAAATAAATTTCTGACTTTGTCTGCAATTCATTAAAATAATGCTTTACGCATGCATATGTGATTTTTCCTTTCATAATAAAACGTGGAGATTTTCGCTTAAAAATTTTGATTCTTAATTTCACTTTGGCACCAAAAATACCTCATCATGGAAAAACAATCTGGTTAGCATAAATTTGTGAAATTAATACTTTGGCTCCGTAGCTGAGTATTTGCTTGGCATACATCTCAAACCAAAACATTCACCTATTTTATATCCCTGACGCTGACCTGGCGAGTCATTATTTATTATATTTTGCTTTCATCACCACATGTTTATCAATACGTGATAGCTTCAGTAATAACTCATGCAGTGATGTCTAAACTTAGTAATTGAATAAAAAGAGTATGGCAACCTTTCATGCTAACATTACGCTTGGTGATGATTATAGATTTTTAAAGAAATGTTAACGAGGAAATATTCAATAAAAATTTCTTTTCATATGCTAAAAATAGATTTTGTTAATGGAACTCATAGGCTAAAAGATTACATTTATTGCTATTTTAATTTAGAATAACTGATATGTTATTCACCATAAACTCAGAAGCAGTGGCAGAATATGTCAGCGCCACACGGCAGAATTTAGGGAAGACGAAATTTTTGGAATTTGGGGAAGCACCGAGCGGCAAAATTAAGGAATCAGAAGTATTTTATGATTTAGGGAAAGCATTGGGAGGCAAAGTTTAGGTGCGGTGAAAATTTTGAACTTGGAACGGCACTTTGTTGCACAACTTAGGATCGTAGAGACTGCACCAGGTGGTATTTAGCGCCGGCCCCAGATAAAGCATTACATGGAAGTTTACTTATACAGGACTCAGATTAATTTTAAGCATGTGCAATAAATAAATATAGGTATAGTAAACAACTAAACTAATACAATTCAGGCTTAATTCAGTATGCAATAGGAGCAAGGCAAAATTTAATGGAACAACCTGGCTTTCGTCGTCAATCTTGTGATACACAGCCAGTAATGTATAACGAACGCTATTAAGCTAGTATAAAATTATCTTTACTGATTCATTTCAGTTTATCTAGCGGAGTGCACTGCTCTCTAATCTTCTAGTTTGATCCAGCTTATTATTTTTTGCAGACTGTTATTATTATGGCAATTTTATAAAAACTGAGCTTGAACTTTCAATTATGTCGAAAAGAGTTTCCAATTCTGGAGCTGCTAAAGGATCTACAAAAAGCGAAATTATGTCCATTAAACAAAAAAGTGGAAATTGCTTCAAAAAAAATGGATAAAGGCATATCCGAGAGGAGTATGGCATTGGAAAGTCAACTGTATATGACATAAGAAAAAACAAAAAAGGAACTTTTTGAATTTTTTGTGGAAGCAACTTACATGAAAAGAAATGTTTAATAAAGTAAACAAATAAATATTGGACGTTTTTTTGTAAATTTTGATACCTTTTAGATCATAATTGTTCTTTATTTCATAAATTATGATTTCATATTTTTAATTGTATAATTTCTGCATGCCATCTTACCAGATTTAAATTGATGATCTAATATCTGGAAAAATCCCAAATCCGGAATCGCCGAAGTCCTGACGAGTCCGGATTTTGGACTTTGTACTGTATATGTATATATGTATATGTATAATTTTTATCAGATTTTTTTACATCATTTCCAAGGACATATAAATTTAATTAATACAATGAGTTATTAGAAGAAATCTGAGTCAGTATTTTAAGTATAAGTTATTTAGATACTATTGTAGTAAAAATATATTATAAATTTAACAAATACAATATAATTATCTCATTCATATAAAGCAAATTAAAATTTTAAATTATGTAAATTCAATTGTGAACAAAATAAAATAATTAATTTTTGCTACAAACTAATTTGCAATATCATTTAAAATTCAGAAAACATAAGGAAATAAAGTGCAAGCTTGTAAATAATTGGAAAAAATAAGTACAATCCAAAAAACTTATCTTAAAAACTTTTGAAATTTTTTTAACTAAATTTAATTTGCATAAAGTGAATAATTCTTGCACAGACAAGAGGCAGATCTCTTCAAGGGGAAGTTGCCCCAAACCTAGTTCTTCAATCACTCAATTTGTGTATCATCATCCATAGGTATAGGTTAAGAAACACATAAAACCAAAAATAGTGATATGTTAAAATGAGAAAGTTAATAGTAAAGGAATTTTCAAGAAATTTGGAAAGCAAATCCACTATAGGAAAAAAAAATTCACACTTAAAATTAAATTCTGAAATTCCAACACAAATTGAGTGATTGAAGAGAGGTTTGGCGGCAACTTCCCCTTGAAAACATCTGTCTCCTGCCTGCTCAACAATTATTCACTTTATGCAAATTAAATTTAGTTTTAAAAAATTTAGAAGTTTCTAAAATTCATTTTATGGATAGTATTATATTTTTTCAATTATTTACGTGCTTGCACTTTATTTCCTTATGTTTTCTGAATTTGAATGATATTGCAAATTAGTTTGCAGCAATAATTAATCCTTTTATTTTGTTTGCAATTGGATTTACATAATTTAGAATTTTAATTTGCTTTATATGAATGAGATAATTATACTGTATTTGTTAAATTCATATTTCATTCGTTGCAGCACTGGCACAAGAGAAATTACTTAAATTTATTTAACTTCACTTATTAGTTTTTTATGAAACAGTATTATATATATATATACACACATACTTATGAGAGTTTTTGAACGGAGAGTTTAAATTTTTTACAGACTTTTTAAGCTTTTTTTTAATGGTAATTTTTAGTGACAAATTATATTAGGGCTATAAAAGTAGAATTTTTTAAATAACCTTGTCACATGTGAAAGACATTTTTAGGGCTATAAAAGTAGAATTTTTCAAATAACCTTGTCACACGTGAAAGACATTACAGATTGTTTTTTTTAGGAAATTAAAAATTGGCTTATAAATTTTGCAGATAGCTACAGAAATTTGTGGAAATTTTATGGGAGCGGGAGAGGCTTTTAGTTTTAATTAAGCAAAATAGTTTTAGAAAAGTTTGAAAGCTACTGTACAGTTTATCACAATATAAAGTTCTCTGTAATGCTGAATTTCATTGTGTAATTTTTATTTTTCTTACATCATTTTAAACATGTTCCTTATCCTTTTTGTTTGTTTCCAGATGATACACTGATGGCAGTTAAAAAAGTACGAAAAAGTATTGACCTTTCAAATGTAGTTCCTATTCGTAGGCAGCACAGGTAGGTTTTTTAGTTTCAATTCATTTATGTATATTTAAAATATTTGTGTATTTATTAAAATATGTATTGTATGAATCATTACTAAATTAATCTTCCCATATTGCTCAAAGGTTATCAATCTCAAAATGTATCTACCATTTTCTATATTAAATGTTTAGTTTAAAAACATCGGATTTTTTGGTGGGAGGCATGAAACTTCTCAGTTTGCTATAATTTATGTATTATTATAAGTTAATAGATAAATTAATTTGCTTTGGCTTGTGGAATGGATGTTGTCACAGGATTCACAATTTGCTATTCTCTGTGATTGATTACACTAGTAAATATCAGTCTAGTATAGTGATATGACACGAAAGAAAATTAATTTTTAATAGAGATCTTTAATTAAATAAATATGTAAATAAAATATAGTAGTATTGGGAATCTGATTTTTTTTTTTTTTTTTTTTTTATTTGATTTGATTAACAAGAGTTTTTGTGTAAGTGAATCTCTTTTTACTTTTTATGATTTGAATTATGCATAGCAATACAAATTGTTATCTTGTCATTAATGTATTATTATTTGGTTAATTTTTTTACTCTCGAAATTGAACTCTGTGGGATATTTTTATTGCAGCATTAATATGGTATATTACATAAGGAAGAAGCAGATTTTACTTTTTTTGGTTACACTTGTTTCTTACTTTGCATTGCATGATGTTGTTGTTTCATATGGCTTTATTGAGAAATCAATCCATTTACACATGATTTTCCATTGAGGTGAAAGTTTACTATGATATCATTTTATATGTGCATTTTTCATAACTCCCAAGTTCATCAAAATGAAATCAGTTTCATGCTCAAAGCTTTTTAGATGTGTAACAGTTATGAAATGCATTTTTGCAACAGTTTGCTATGAAAGCTCTTGTAATGTAGAAAGTGGAGGCAGGTTCTTTAAGAATATCTCAAGGAGATATATCTGGAAGAGTTTAATAGCATAATATATGGTAACTTTGTGGCACTCCAAGTGATCAGATGATAAAATACAATTATGCTCCCTTTGTAGATGTCTGTAAGCTTTTTCTTACAATAATTCAATATGTGAAAACTCAGCTGCACTCTGAAGAGCATTCAAATCATGGATTTTTCAGCTGTTAGCTGAAACTTATAGTACGAGGGAATCTGTAATTTTTTATATTCTCAAATGAAAACTGGAGACAAGCAGGAGTTTGATTGAAAATGTGAAAAATCTTCTGCATCTTTGCTTGAATTCAAGGTATGGATCTTTCAATTGTTAACTGAATGGATTGATTCCATGCAAGAATGTGTACAAAGGAATGTGGTAATTTCTTACAAAATGATATACTTAATGTAATTCTGAATGTAATCTTTCATCTTTTTCAATAATTCAATGTATGATATTTCATATATTGCAAGAAATAACAAATTTATAAGCAAGCTCATTCTTTTTAAAATACTTTATGTGTTATTAACAGTTGCAGTTATGGGTTTATATTCCAGAACTTCTTTCTTATAAAAGTAAGTTAGAAACAAGATCACATTATTTTGAATGATGGCACATATACTGTAGATGGCTGGTATAGCTTACTCTTGTTGTAAATGCAAAGTATATGTTCAGTAGGTAACAGATTTATATGCCACCTAAAATTATGGGAGAAATGCTGGATGGGAGGATATAGCATAAATTTGCCACTTGAAGTAAAGTAGAGAATCAGCTTACTCGAGAAGTTCTTTTAGAGGGAAAAAATAATATATAATTTTGTATAAAAGCATGAAAAACAATTTTTAAGCTATTAAATATGCATAAAAAAAGAAAGATAACTATTAATAGAAAAATTGATGTAATAGTAGTTTTAAAAAGTGAAGGCATGAGGTTCTGCAAATTTTGTTCTAAATTATTTTTTATGCTTTCTTATATAGTAAGTGGCAGTGACTCAAAATGAAATAGTCAAAAGGATGTATAGCTATTTTTTTTTTTTTTTCCAGCGCGTTAAATACATTAGGCCTGATACTTCAGCATTTAGGTAATTTGATTCCTGAACTGCTGTACTGGCTTCTCAAAGTATTGCTGATCATCACAGCTACGAGTGTGACCCTTTTGGAAAAGCGAGAGGAAGTTCTACCTCAGTGTGTAACCCTTCTCAAAGCTGTTCGTATACAAGCTGTTATGAAATTGATACAAGTAAGTTATTTTGTTCAAACAAATATAATTTTTTAAATTTCTTTTGACTGTACTGTATTTGATTATTTCTAGAAGAATGAAGAGGTATTAATAAACTTTTCTTCCCGTTCAGTTTTTTAAATCTTTCCCACAATATGATTTCAAACCTGAAGAAATTGATGCTGTCTTTGAAAGTATAGTATGGCCTATAGTAAGTGAATGAATACATACATTATCATACATTTATATATACTGGTATATCACTGCTTCACCTGAATTTTTGTTTTAAGTCTTCTGATTATTTACAAAAGTTTCAGAAACTTTTATATGCTGTAGAAGATTCTATTTAAGTATACTTTTTTGGATAATTTTTGTATTACTTTTTTTGGGGGGGAGGTGTCAAGTTAGATATAAATCTTCATCTGTGGTCTCGCATATAAATCAGTCAACATGCTTGAAATAATAAATAATAATTTATGTGTCAAGTACCAGGACTTTTAAGCTGAAATGAATGATGGGAGAAAAATTCTAAATAAACTCACACAAAAGCTATCTTGAAATCATTTTCTAGTCATTAACTTATTTTAATTCTGAATAATTCTTTCAACTCAAAAAATTTCATTAATTATCCATTGTGTTTAATATAAGAAAGATGGAATGTATTTTTATATACAGTCGTAAACAGCAATAATATTAGAGAAGTGTCATTTATTCATTGAATATTAGGCTGAACTATTTCTCGGCAAAATGGTTGGATCATGTTAAGGTAACACATTACTTAGATCAGTGATCAGTGCAATGTGTTATTTCATAGTATTAAGGTTACCTGAATTTGTGTAAAAATGCTTAAGTAGGCAGTGAACATTGGTTTCTCGGCAAAATGGTTGGATCATGTTAAGATAACACATTACTTAGATCAGTGATCAGTGCAATGTGTTATTTCATAGTATTAAGGTTACCTGAATTTTTGTAAAAATGCTTAAGTAGGCAGTGAACATTGGTTCCATAGCAGAATAGCATGTTCCTGAAATAGTAACATTCTGAACATAACTTTCATTAGTAGTACATTTTTATAACAATATTTAAAACATAATTCAATTTATTAGAAACTTATTATCAGATATACCCTCTCCTCCCACTTTTTTCAATATGTTTTCCTGACATTTTTTGAAATGATATGAAATATAGTAAATGGAAAAAATTAAAACTCTTTTTCCGTATATATTTTATTGTTTGTTTTATAATTTGATAAATGTTGTTTGCTTTTTAGTTACCTCGTCTTGAACATGAATCCATCAATCAACCATCACCATTGCTTCGTCTGCTAGCAACATGGAGTGAGAAGCCTAGGTAGAACAATTTTTAATTTTAGTGCTTATGTATGGTGTACTCTAGATATGTTCACTCAGGGAAAAGGGTATTTCAATCCTATGTTTTTAACAACTGTAATATAAAGCAGTGAAATTATTTTGTCTGCTTATATTTTTTCATGCTTTATGCTTAAATAGCAATAAAATATAGCGGGAAAATAGTATTTTTATGCTATAAATTTGTGGTATTGTAATGAGGATTCTGTGATAGTGAGTTAAGTATTAATATGAGATAGTTTCCTAATATAATATTCCTTCTTGTGGAATAAAATATCAAGAAACTTTTATTAGATTTCAAAATTTAAGAGATTTTTATTTGCATGTATTTTTTTCTTCCATGTTTCTGCTATAGAATGTTGAATAATTGTTGTGTAAAGAAAATCAAGTGTTATAGTTATTTTAGATATGTTTGTTAAAAGTCCTTGGATTGTTTTGTGCCTTTTGTAAATAATTTTTAATAATTCAATTACTTGTTCTAGGTACTTTGTTTTATTTGCAAAATATCATGAGAATTCTGCATCTTTAACACCCTTGCCTCATTTAATGGACTTATATTCATGCCCACGTACAAAATCAAGAGTTGTTGGTGTAATATCAAAAATCATCTTCCAGCTACTTACCATTGAAAATGAGACTTCTGAAGAAGAAGAAAAACTGCCTCCTCTCCAAATAAATTGCCATCTCTCTTTACTGGATGTAATTATCGATGGAGGTAATTTTAACTCAAGTTTTTTTTTTTTTTTTTTTTTTTTATAATAAATTTGTGAATATCATCTGAAATTCCATGTGTATATGAGAATGAATGCATGCATAGGCTCCTGGCATTCTTTATGCATAATCCAGCACCCCCTATATTCACAGCATCATTTTGTATGCTTCATAGGATGAAGTTAAAATCAAGTGCTTCACCGCTTGTGAAATATGATCAGTTGTCTGGTTCTTAACAGCAAGAAACACGAAAATTGTGGGTATTCATCACCAGATATGTGAAATATACAGTGACAGTTAAATGAATGATACTGGAGTGTAAAAATGATGAAATTATTCAAAGAAGCATGTAAACACATCCACGATGAATCACGCTTTGGTGTTGGTGAACCAAAGTGTGATTCATCATGGATTCAAAGCATGATTCATCTGGATTTAGTGGAAGTAATTCTGCTCCAATAAATGCAATAGGAGATTTACCAAAAAAAGAAAATGAAAAAGATCATGAATAAATAAATGGCTATCATCATAGGCAGCCAATTTCTTTGAGAAAAGTATCCCTGTTTGTTATGGTTAAAGTTTAGACTGACAAGGAAATTGTTTTTCTTGTCTCTTTCAGATTTTATATTATGCCTAAAGCAGCTGCCCCCTTTTTTTTAACCATTTTGTGTGTTACCCATTTTGTTTATTTTGTGTTTTATTTATTAAATATCATGTTCTTCATACTTAAACCATAATATTCATTTCAAAGGCAATATCACAAAATATTTAAAATGAGCATATCTTCAGAATTCCCAATACACAGTCTTGTGTACTAAAGGGTTTTTATTTTTAATTTTTTCCCCTATATATATATATATGTGTGTGTGTGTGTGTGTGTGCAATGTTGCCATTGCTGGCTTTGAAATCATTGAAATTGCCAAAGTTTTCCAAGATATGAAATAGTAACACAAATTCCAAATTTGCACTTTCAGATGCCCATATTCGAGTGGAAAACTACGTTATTCTAAATTTGATGTCTCTGAGGTACCGTTCTTTTTTCAGAATGCAAGAAACATACATACATTAATACAGATTCTTCATTATTTAATTTCTTTAAATATAATGCATGGCTCTAATATTCGGTGGCAACAATTTGAAGAGTGAAACGCCATTTTTTAACGAATGAAACAAAGTGCCAAAACAAAATTAACAGCCTTTCTGGGCAAATTGCCCCTTTAAAGTATTAAAAAAAATAGAAAAATCAGAATTTAAAAATTTTTTTTTTTTTTCTTGTTTGTTTTTATTACAAATAGGCCTTACTTTAAAAATAACCCTTGTATGTTCTTCTTTATTAAATATTTTTAAAATATTAAATAGGTATTGTAGTATTGTTTATTATTTTACTATAGGCTGTATAAGTTTAAAGACACCTATATTTTAATGCTTTTATTTTGTTTTTGTGCTGTTCATTCTTATTACTTTTTAAAGTATGCATTTATCGGAACTAGTTTGAGCAGAATTATTTTAGGTAATCTTTGGAAATTAAATAAATGCGTATAGCATTGATAAGCAAAAGTATATTTTATATTCTTAAGGTTTCCCGTTGTGTTATTTACATGCTACTGCATTTGATTAGCTCTGCATTAACTAGAATAAGTTTGTTTATCAAAATAAAAGGCAACCTAAAAAACAAAACAATTATTTTTATTCCTGTGTTCTACTTTTTAATGCAATGTCAGTTTTAATTGAGATAATTCATTAATAAAGATATGTAATGGTTTTGATGAGAGAAGACACAAATACTTTCTTTCATGCCCAATGTTACCACATTTTATTTCCAGACAAAACAATTCTTGAAAAGCACATCTTAATTATGAATTTTGTATACGAGCCAGTTTCCCTTAGAAAGTCCTCCACGAAGGCATCCCTCCTCTTAGGCAAATAGCCCTCAAGGCTTTGCCATAATCACACACACACACACAATTATGAATTATTCATGGTGCTGGGCATAATCTGCGTCCACATTCTCAATCACATTTGTAACTTTTTTACATCTTTTGATAAATAAGTGGATAAAAGAAAGAGATGTGCAGCAACATGTTAGCTAGACAGGAAACAAAACATTAATGTAACATATTCAAAAGAAAGCCTGAAGCAGAAGTCAAAAGATTACAGTTTGTAATGTTACTTTCAATTTCAATGTATTGAGATTGGCTTAAGCATTTATGTAAGTACCTGCATCAGCAGACCCAAATTAAAATGAGGAATTAAGAGACTATTACAAATTAAAGTTAGTATTTAGATTTAGATATTTTTTATGTTACATACATTCATATATATCACCTGGACAATGATTTTTTTTAGTTAACTTTTTGTATAAAATATATTATTACTTTGTTTTATAATAAAATACCAGTTGCCCTATAAAGAACAAATCTATGAAGAAAATTGTTCTAAAAGAAACTGGAGATGATTGATTTTTAAAACTCATAGAAGGAATGCTATTTGTATCCACCATTTTAGTTTCAAAGATTTTACTGTATCTTTTGGTGTGTATATAATATATCCCTTTAACAAATATTCTCTATTCGTATAAAGCTAATTTAAAGTAAATTTAAATTTTAAATTATGAAATTTTAAATTTACTTTAGCTTTATATGAATAGAGAATATTTGTTCAATTCAAATTTCATTCCTTGCAGCAATGGCGCATGAGAATTATTTAAATTTAATTTTACTATTTATTCTTATGAAACAGTTATATCTCTTTATGTAGTTTTTTAAATTCAAAATTAAGTACTTATTATTTTCTGTTTTATTCTGTAGTTCCTGCTGCTTTTGGAACAAAGCTTTTGCTTCCATTTGTGGATAAAATATTATCAAGAATTGAAATGACAGTTTCGATTGTGACTAAAAAGAAAGTCAAAAAATCGATTTCTACAAGGGATTTGACTATTCTATTAAGGTAAAATTTATTGCAAGGTGTTTTTTAAATATCTAATGTAAATATCAGAATTATACTTTATTATTTACATTTATGTGCATGCTTTATGTTTTTAGAATTAGCAAATACGTGAATGATTCTTCACAGTGCTCAAAGCTGATACATTTGTTGATACCATTTTTTCAGAAGTCCAAAATAGATCCTGTAAGTATGCATGTTTAAACATAATTTTATGTTTAAATTATTTTTTAATTTTGTGTTAACTTTATTTGGTGAATTTATTTGTTAAAATTACATTTGATTAAGTAACTTGGTGTGCCATAAAAAAGATATTTGAGAATTGTTATAATCTGAAAACTTTTTCTAATTGGCCTATATCGTTGGTTTCATAAATTGCTCAGATAATATGACTTCTTATTTGATTCTCCATTACTGGTGAGAAGTTTTCCAGTTTGTAATCAATTAAAAATAATACAGGAAATACAAACAAAATAAGGTATCCTCATAAATATAGTTACTGAAATTATTATTTATTATTGTGTGGTTAAATGACAGGTGCTGTGTTGAGAAAATTTATTTAATTTTGAGAAATAATTATTTAATTTGAACCTTAAAATGTCAGGACTTAGAAGAGAAGGGCTAGCTCATAGAGCTTTTCCCCCTGAAACAGAAAGTGAGAAGTGATGATGTAGCCATGATGACACTGAGTGCGCCAATAGAATTTACAGCTTGGAAAATAGCGTTTTTGAACCAGCGTTTAAAAGGAGCTGTGTGTGAAAGATAGCTATAATTTGGAAGAGGCAATGTTACTGCTTTATGCATTTTAGACTGAACCATTAAAAAATTTAATAATGCTTGCTCAATTTTAAAATAATAGATAAAATGTGCTACTCTTTTAACATAAAGTTCCTTTTTTTTTTTTTTTTTTTTTTTTTTTTTTTTTAATTTGAAGGTTTTTTTTTATTTAATGCACATTTATTTCTAATCATTTCTTTATTTTATGCTAACTGAGAGAATTTTTATACTGCTTCTAAGATAACTATAATAGCAGCTATTTAAATTTACTCAAAAAACAACTTTACATTGACATAGGTTTAAACATATATGACGTATATGGCAACATTTCTGCTAACCTAAGTTTGTTTTTTGCCTAATTGTAAATTTTACATTGTTATAATTCTCTTCCGATTCAATATAATAGATATTTTTAAATAATTTTGTAATTTATACTTATATCTATATTACAATTAAATAAATGTATATAAGATTGTTACCTTAATTTTGACAAAATAGCTTTATTCAGAGTACCTAAAACAGTCATTTAATTTTTCAAAAGTGTGAGTAAAGGAAGCAGGTCTTTTTATGCCAATTACTTTGATGTTTTATACTATTATATTTTATCTAGAATGCTAATCTAGCTCAAAATCTAATCAATAATTAGTTACAAAGGATACAATAAGAATAACTTTAACAAGTACTTAGCAAAATTAGTTTTGTTAAATACTTGTTATTCTTGTTGCTACTATTTTGGTACTACAGTCAAAAGTCGTTAATCCGGACTCGTCGGGACTTCGGCGATTCCGGATTATCGATTTTTCCGGATTACAGATCATCAGTTTAAATCTCGTAAGATGGCATGCAGAAATTCTAAAATTAAAAATATGAAACCGTAATTTATGAAATAAAGAACAATTATGATCTAAAGGGTATCAAAATTTGCAAAAAGAAAAAGCTTAATATTTATTTGTTTACTTTATTAAACATTTCTTTCAATGTAAGTTGTTTAAGTTTTGCTTCATTTCATGTGATAATACTTTCTCTTTAATTCTATTAAACAGACATAATTTCTTGTTCAGTTACAAAGTTCCCCTGTTCAAATCCTATAATTGCTGTGTCGAGAACACCGACTAATTTGTCAATCGAAATTTTTTCGTTTTCACTAACCTCTGTTACTTTCTTCGCTATCGGAAGTGAATTATAATGACGAGGAATTTGTTTTAAATCATATCAAAGACGGAGCACATCAAGATGAAATACTAATTTGGTAAGAAATTATAAGCCAAATAAAATAAAAACATCTGCCCTGAAGATAAGGATAGTGCTGACAGATCAACTTCCAATTCATTACGCGCCCGCTACGGCATTCCCCCCGCCGAGCAGCGTGAAATTGATAAACAGATTTCGGATTTCAAAACATACTTTCGCTTTAGATACTTTACATATTAACAAATATATATCGGAAATTCTATTTGATATAATCGAAAGTTCAAGCTTACTTTTATAAAATTGCTCTTACAGTCTGCAAAAAATAATAAGCCGGATCCAATTCGAAATTTAAGGAACAACACAATCATCAACATTAACTGAAATAGATAATTAGATAATTTTAGCTTATACGTCCATTATACATAAAACGCGCACGCGAAAACGTATTCTGCACTTGCGCACACTCATATGCGCAATAAAAGGTCTTATTATTAAAAGAAAGTTTTAAGGTCCGGATTATAATCAGGGTGTCCACGACTCATTCATACCGAAGATATTATCGATTAACTCATAGAAGTCAGATGCTTTCTGATTTCCTGTGGGGTAGAGTATACCTTTTGCGGTACTTTTTGAAAATAATGTTTTCTCTGGAGCGACTTTTTGTCTCTCGTTTCCCTTGACCATTAAATAATTTGGTTTTAGTTTGTGACACAATTTGATTTCTTCTCAATCTCTATTTAAAACCTCTTTAATAATATCAAAATTTAAAACAGTTACATCTTCTAAAACAAATCCTCTATCTAAAACGCGGTTTCTCAGTAATTTGAGGCAGAGCGCGAAATGAGACCTCTGATTAAAACAAACTGCACATTTTGAAAAGAACCAACTTAGTCCAGTTTAGAGTCATAGCAGAGTTTTCAATCTATATGCATTTCGTCGAAACTGAGAACGCATATTTTTTCTACAGAATACAAATATTCGCCTCTTTCCTTCTTTAGAGTAAGAACATTACTTTGAATTCTTGGACTACACTAAAATTTAGAAAACACTAAAAAATAAAATAAACACCATTTCTTTAATTTGATAATACTAGGTAAAGATATTCCAATTTTTTTCTTAATTTTTTTCTTTCCAAAAATCATAGCTTTAAGATGACAGAGCTCTTATGACAATGCAACGTGAAATATTTTCACTCGTCCACCTGATTTTTTTCTTCTTTTTCAGTAATGCATTAATCTGCGTCTTTATAAAAAATAGGCTTTAGACATTTTTCCAAATTCTCCGATTTGTGCTCCCCCCCCCAAATTTCGCTATTTGAGATTTTAATTTCTGATACCAATTTCTGTCTAGATGTCGTCCACCTTCTTTGTCGCTGAACAAACATTCTAAAATTTTTCTTTTCTCTATTTTTCAATACTTTAATACAATTTAATACAATTTTCTAAGGATATTATTTTGTTCTTCAAATTATCAATGCATTCTTGTTTATCCTTAAACATTCAGGATGATCTACATTTTCATTTGTGAGTTTTATTTCAAAATCATTAAAATTTGATTTATTATTGTCATCATCAATTTCGATTTATTATTGTCATCATAATTTACTTTCGGCACAGCATTCCATTTCAACAGTTTCTTTTTGTGGCTATCCAAACAAGCGATTTTTCATATCATCTTCATAAACACTGCATAGAAAATGTTCGCTGCAGATTTTTCCGCTCTTCACATTAATAGAATCTTCTCTTTGACATTTGTGTATCCATTCTTTCGTCAAAAGCAAACTCTCATTTGGATCCTTTGGTCCCATGAAATAAAATATCTCATCCTTTCATACTTCTGTAAGTGCTACGGCACGTTACTGCAGCGCAAAAAGCCATATTACGTAAACGATACTTTACAATATAGAATTTAAAATAAAAACTGACTAAAATTACATATATATAAATTATTTTAAATATATACATTATTAGAAAACAGATATATATATTATTAAAATTAATTTGGGATATGTAACCTCTAGAAAATCGTCTCGCAGCTCAATGAAACTACTGTTTTAAACGCGGGAAATCGGGACAGATGGCATCACAGTGACGTCAGATTATTGACTGTTACGTCCCCCCATTAGGCTCGTGTCGGTGAGGAGTCGAACAAAGAAATGAGCTAGCCCTTCTATTTATCCCTGGTAAAATGTATTAAGAAATCAGCAGAAGCTAGACATTTGCCACAGAATCAAAATTTGGCAAGGGAAAAGGATTTCTAAAAACCTCTCCCTCTTTTTTTAATAGAAATGTGAATACTTAGCTAGAATTATTCAGTCTTTTGCATAATAAGATTTTGTATTTGCACTTTTAACCCTTTCAGGTGAGGTGGTTTCACCTTGAAACCGCATTTTCAACATTTTTTTAATTTAGAAAATTTGTTTTTTTTTTTTCCTCAAAACCACTGCTAAAATAAAATTACTTCTTAAAGCTGATAACAGATGGCAGCAGCAAACCTTTCTGGGCATCCATTAATTGATACGAATCATTCAAAAAAAGCTTGTTTTGCAACAATCTTCTTTTTGAGCTGTTTTAAAAGCAAGAAAACCAGCCAATTTTTAATTTTTCCATAATATATTTTATAAGCAGGCATCAATGAGTTAATGTAAATGTCCTTAGGTTCACCAAAAAAAAGTATAATGAAACCCTTTTAATTGTTGAATGTTTTCAGTGCGGTTTCAGTATGAAACCACCGCCCGTGTCAGACATCAAAGAAAGGATCAGATGACGCAGTCGCGTAATTTTTTACAGCTTGTGTTTATTGCTTTCAGAATCACTGCTGTAAACAGTTGCACCATATTTCATTTGAGTGGCTTCAAATATAAGGATTTATGGGGCATTTCGAGAGAGGAAAATCATTTCTTATTTTTTCAGAGACACAGAGCATACTGAAGAACACTCACAGTTGCGTTTTTATTATGCCTTCTCTAGCGGTCGCTTTTCTCATGCTTCTAGTTCATAGTAAAATAATTGTATGCATCGTAATTTATTTTATTTTTACATATAAATTTTCTTAGTTTCAAACATAATTTTTTAAAATATTTCATAGTTTTATGCAAGTAATTTAGTGCATTATTAGTTACTTTTTGCCCCATACTTTTTTGTTTCCTGTTTTAAATTTTTTATTTATAATTTAAAATGCGTATTTATGAAAATATTACTTACTTCATTAGTTGTTCAGTAATTTACTAGTGTAATCTGCAATTTGGGTTACGTTCAGATACTTTTCAGCAAAGTAAAGATAAATAAGCAAATGTTTAGTCTTAAATGCTCTAGACAGGCGCTGGTTTCAAGGCGAAACCGGTCCTCTTTCCATAAAGGGGGACGAAAAAAGTTTTTAAAACTCATTTATGTTGTCTATAGGTCCATTGCATGTCATTATGCTTACTTTTTTATAACTTTTAAAAAATCATAACATTGGGCCCCTGAAAGGGTTAAATGAGAGAAATAATAAACAGTAAGCTTTTCCAAATAATTTTAAATAAAAATAATATAAATAATCATATTACCGTATGCTTAGACATATAATGCATCAGTATTTATAAAATGGAGTTTTTGAGAATATAGTAAATGCTATAGTTTCATGTGTATAATGCTTGATTGTAATGTCATCAGCTGTCCAAGTATTAGTTATGTCGCATATATTATGATTCTGTATTTTTTTTTTCGTATTTACTGTTCTTATAATGATAATTTAATGTTATTTCAAATCTTATGAATGGTATAGAAATATCATCAGTTAAGGATTTCATTTTATAAGAGAACAGGAATATGCTGTAGCAGTGATAGTTCCCAAATGTAAAATATATTATAGCTGTTTCATTTTTGCAAAAAATGTAAAACTTAGACACATGCCACATACTTTTTTTCCAATGTGATGTTCAGTTTTCTGTAATTACAATGAGGTAATATGCTATATATTTTATTCCTCCCCCCTCCCTGGTTTAGATATTCAGACTTCTATGAATTGTTTATATATACATACACACACACACACACACACACATATATATATATATATACACTGGTGTGCAAAAATTAAGGACAAAGTCGAAAAATTAGCATATCAGCTGAACTAAGAGGCAGAGCGGACAGAAAGACCAATCAGGAGATTAAGTAAGGTGATGTACGATAGCACATGCGCAGATATGCAGCTAGACGTAATGGGGAAGTGTCTGAATAGTATAAAGCATGTTGTAGGTGTAAGATCAGTATTTCTGGCAAAGAGATTGCATGCCATATAGCAGTTGAAATCACACCGAGTTGCTGCCTCAGCGAGAAATGGCCAATAATCAATCTGTTAGATGACATCTGGATGCTTTTACCCGAGGTCGAATCATTGGGAAGTTGGAGGAAGGCCGCAGTGTGACAAGTGTGGCTGCAGAGTTCGGAATTGTTCACAGCATCGTTTCACGACTTTGGAGACAATTTCAAACTACAGGAACAGCTATCCGGGGGTTTAGTAGTGGTCGTCCATGAGGAACCACGCTCGCAGATGACCGGTATATTGCCTTACAGGCCAGAAGAAACAGGCGGCAGACAGCTGGAGAAATCGCTAGACACACGACACAGGCGACTGGACAACCGATATCGCATTTTACCGTGGCCAGAAGACTGCACAGTGGTGGTCTGTTTGCACGACACCCTGTACGGTGTGTACCTCTAACGCCTGCCCATCGGAGAAGGCGTTCTCTGTGGTGCCGGGAACACCGGAATTGGAGAGACAATGAATGGGGACGAGTACTCTTTACAGATGAGAGCAGATTCAGTCTGAGTAGCGATTCTCATCGCATACTCATCTGGAGAGAGCGGGGAGAAGCCGCAATCATCCCTCGAACATCATTGAAAGGGACAGGTATGGAGGTGGCGGTGTTCTCGTTTGGGGAGGCATCATGCTTGGTAGTCGTACAGACCTTCACATCTTCGACGCAGGTTCAGTCAACGGGACCCGTTATTGTAACGAGATTCTTCTTCCATATGTGCGTCTTTTTAGAGGCACTATGGGTCCGCAGTTCTTTTTCATGGACGACAATGCACCATGTCATCGCACAGTAGCTGCCAAACAGCTCTTAGAGAGTGAGGATATTGAACATATGGATTGGCCGGCACGATCTCCGGATCTCAATCCCGCATGTTGGGATTTTCTAGGCAGATGCTTGGCAGCTCGTACCTTACCACCAGTAACGATTCCGGAGCTTCGATTGGCGCTGCAAGACGAATGGGCAGCAATGCCTCAACAACTCATTGACACCCTCATTCTCTGCATGGGCAGACGCTGTGAAACCTGCCTAGCAGTCGGGAGATCATATCTCCTATTAAAAACCGGATGTTTCTTGCTGGACACCCATCACAGGGATGACGGCCTTCAGTCGCATTGCGCTCCATGCTACTTTTTCAATAAAGCTTCTTTTTGATCCCTCTGATTTCTCTTTTAGTAAGTGTTGCTTACATTACTCATGTCCTTATGTATTGGGGATCTTACGGTATTAAATGTGTTGATTTGGAAAGCTTTTGTACAAAGTTATATTGAAAAAACCGTCTCGTCCTTAATTTTTGCACACCAGTGTATATATATATAAAGAATTTTCTGTATTACTGAGGGAAAATATTTTCCTTTAGTCAGTAGAAAATGCCTTGTAGAAATATTTTCATTAAATTATGTTCTCCTCGATAAGTGAATGTTAATTTATGTAAGATGTCATTAAATGATGTCCAAGTGGTCCAAGCCTTTCTATGCATAAGAATTGTAAATTCTTAGTAACTTTTTATATAAAAGTTGATCTTTATTTCAAGAAGGAAATGCAAATTTATATGCACATTGAAAGTAAGTATCTGAAAATACTTTTTTGTAATCTTATAAGTTCTTTTTCTAAAAATTAGGATTCTGAAGTTCTTATTCTGAATACGATTTCGAATTTGATTAAAAAAGCTGAAGATATTGAGGATCTAACTAAGTATGCATTTTTTAAATATTTTTCAAAGTTTAGTGGTATTCCCTGTTAATTTTTAGATCTAATTCTATTTTAGTCTTTCAGTGTTGATTTCAAAAATTGGATACAGATAGATTTTTTGGAATACCCCTGAATTTGACTTGACTGTGTTTACAATAATGTTACAATATGTTTTCATATTTATTCTAAAATTCAGATTGTATGCACTTGTATATATGTATTGTAAAATAATACGTAGTGTATTCAAGTTTTGCTGGTACTGTTCTGTTATCAGGACCAGGTTCAGAAATGTATGTACGTATGCATGTATATATGTATGTGTGTGTATACATATGCACATATATGCTCATACATACAAATGCATGGTCATACATTACTGAATCCATTCCCAGCAACGAACAGTAGCATTTTTCCTTTCTCTTACAAATAGTAAAAATAGTTGCTAAAACTATATAAATCAGTTACAAGTTATATTTAGCAAATATTATGAAAGTATGTTTATTAGTCTTTTCTTAAATTAAATAATTAAAATGAAATTTCTGACACTAATTTTAATTGAAGTCCATCAAAGAGATTGTATAAAATACAGAACAGAAATTCTTAGCTTGTAAATTTATATTGACAATTGATTAATTATATTTAATATTAATGTTTTCACAGAAAAATTTTTTTAATTGTTTTTTTAAATATGAAAGACTAAAGAGCGGTTTTGATTTCTGTTTAACGTAAATATAGGGTGTCCCAACAGAAATGCCAGATTTAATATGCCCAAAAGATATTTTATTTTTAGAAAATAGAAAATATTTGTACATACTTAAAAGAAGTAAATTTTCCATTTAAAAGTATCAATTTTGGTTTGACCTGGTAACTGGTATTTAATCACCATTAGTACATTTTGCAGAACCAATTGTATATATGTATATCCACCCCCTTACCTACCTTACATGTTCTTACACAGCCTTTATTTTTAGCAACCATTAGTCTTAGTCATTTACTTCCAATTACTGAAGTGTTTTAAATGATGAATTTTGGCATTGTCAGATTTTTAAAAAAATAATTTTGGACAAATAACGAGATCTAAACTTTTAATGCGGGTCTTCCGGTTCATGTACTTATATTTCAAAGAGTTTTATACTTATTGTTATAAAATTTGACTGGTATATTTAATTTCAAAATTTGCAATTTTTGTTGTCATTTTCAACTTGCCTTTAGAAATTGGTTAATTTAGTGTAATTCAAGAAAATAATTTAAACGAAATGCTGCAAAAAATGTGTATATTTTAATAGGCCATACAAGGAAGTCATGGTATTCACATAAGATTTGTAATAAAAAGTAATCTTCCTATGCAACTCAAAAGAATAGTGCTCATTGCTCCCTAGGTTCTAAAAGGTACAGTTATAAAAGGGAGATTAAAATTTACAGGTAAAGAATTCGAACAACATTATAAAAGAAAAGGAATTTTGCTGATTTTATTAAAATTATCCTGTTTTTTTTTTTTTTTTTTTTTTTTTTTTTTTTTAATGTGTATATATATATATATATGTTATATACACTTTCAAATAATTAAATTAATCCATTGTCATTTTAATTTTTGTTCCTAAACATTTTATGTGGAATTTTACCCACTCTCAGTCAAAGTTTCTATTTTTCACTTCTAATTTTATTCATGCAAAATAACCTTTCTGAAACAATAATCATATGTCTCATGCATTGTGACAAATATGTAAGATCTTTTGAGGTGTCTTAGAAGATAACTTGAGTGTGAAAATCAAGAAACAACCAGGCATATGAAAAAGCCACAAGATACTTTTTTCACTCGAAATATGTAACACGTTTCTTGTTCTGTGAGCAAGAAAGGTATATGATGTGATTTAGCTGTGTGCAAAACTTTCTCATTATGAATTATGTGATGTAGATCTTACTCCTTTTTATTTGGATCAGGATATATAAATCTTAAATATCTATCTAATAAATAAAAAAATACTGATCTAAAATCCCCACCTAACATATGAATGAAATTAGTAATGTTCAATGCAATTATGCACTATTCTTCAACTATAATGTGCTGCTAAGACAATATGTCGTTTCTTGACAAAAATCATAATTTGTGAGACTGCCTGGCAGGTGGCTCAGCATATTAATCAATTAATGAACTGTTGTACCATATTATTTGTTGTTTATGATACTTTATTTTGTATTTATTTTAGATTGCTTGCTCCTCTGTTTGGAAAACTATCTAATCAAAATACACGCTTAGCATTGTGTACAGTTTTTTCAACACTTGCTGAAATTAAACCTGAAATGCATAAAATGGCATCAGTTATTGAAAAGGTGAGAATGATGCATATTTTGTTCTCTTATTTTATGAATAAAATATTTATCAGCTTTCAGTGTTATTTTCAGCACCCAAAGCTGTCATATCTAATGTGCTTGAAAAATTTTGTGATTTATAATTAATTCATGTACTATAAACAAACTGTTCTTTTATGATTGAGATTTTTAGTTGTACTCATGGGATGAATGAAATGTTGAATGATTAATGAAAGTTTCCTGCCAAAAAACTTTCTTAATAAAGTTAGGAAAAAAATGAATGCAGTACCTTTAGTGTGGTTAGTAATCAGCACCCAAATCTATGATTTTCTGCCAATGTTTTGATAATTTTTCAAAGCCTTTGGCCCAGAAACTTGGTGGCCACGAGTCGAAAAACAAATAAACCACATTTCAGATGTCTTGTACAGAATGGAAGTAGCACCAGCAGGATGTAGCTGCAGGTGTGAAAAAAGTAGAAGTCCGAAGGAGTGGTGTTGGGGCTACATGGTGGGTGTGACAAAAGATCCTGTTTGAGTCTGTACAGAATCCAGCCTGTAAAAAATGCAGACACATGTGGTCTTGCATTAGCTTGATGGAACATTACCTTTTTGTGGCGGAACTAAGTTCAATGTTTTTCCTTGATAGCAGTGTCAACATGGACTAGCATCTTACTATACACCTTACTGTCAACTGTTTTGCCTTTTTCCAGACACTCTTTGAAGATAATACCATGGCAATCCCACCAGATATAAAATATGATCTTTTTGTTAGTCAAATTGCATTTTGCGATGTTGCTGACGGGCTCACCAGGCACAAACCAACCCCTTTTTCATCCTGTGTTGTTCAAGTAAATCCACTTTTCATCAGAAGTAGCATTCCAGTCCATAATTTTGTCCTTGTGTTGATATTACAGCAGATTAATGCAAGCTTGAACAATGTCTGTCCTTATCCGCTTGAGTCAGCTCAGGCGGCACCCAATGACTGAACTTATACATCAAGTTTATATGATGCATAGCGCAACTAATGGACATGACACTAACGTCTAACTCTTTGGCAAGCTTTTGAATTGTTTCATATATTGATCTTTCACCAGTTCTTACAGGCGAGGCTCATTAACATCAGTAGGCCAGCCAGAGTGCTCTGCTTCTTGAATGTCATAGTCGTTATTTTTTAACTTTTGGTTTGAACATTGCATTGATATTTTTGCAGATCAGTGTTCTCAAGCAAATGAGAACACATCTGTCCTCATCTGCTTTAGTCAGCTCATGGGATACCCAGTGATTGAACTTGTACATAAAGTTTATGCAATGCATAGTGCGATTAATGGGCATGGCACTAACATCTAACTCCTTAACAAGGCTCTTGAGTGGTTGCATAGTGATCTTCCACAAGTTCTAGCAGGCCATCCAGAGCGCTTTGCTTCTTGAATGTCATCGTTCTTGTACTTAATGATAATGATATTTTTTTACAGATTTCAAAACACAATGTTCTAAAGCAGGTCTCTTTCTTTCAAATGCCAAAATTCGTTTAACAGAATATGATTAAACATGCCAACACAAATTATTTACGCAGACAATATTTGCCATGGTGGGAAACTTTTTTTAAAACCCGATATTTTCTATGAAAAATAGCCAAATATTTACAACAGTATGACAAGGTAATAGAGCAATAAATTATTTTTATAAGTTATAGCAGTTGCTTAAAACGGTTGATGTTCATGTTTATGCACATTTGGACATGTTGACATATGATGACTAATACTGCTTACAACTCTTCAACAACAACACTGTGGATACTGTTTATGATGTTTTTCTTGAATTCTTCTGGGGTATCTGGATCCTTGGCATATACATACTGCTTTAAATTTCCCCACAGAAAAAAAAAAATCTCAGGTGGAAGTCCAAAGAACATGGTGGCTCCAACTTCTTCCTTGAACACAGTTCAGGAACTTTTATTAATGAATTAGCATGAAATATGACATACTACTTCATCCTGTTTTTTTTAACCTGTGAGAACGTGCGTCAGGCCTGTGAGGCCTGGTCTTTACAAAAATGTAATAAAAAAAATTTCTCCCTTTGGTGAAATTTTTCGACCTTCTCAGTAGCTGCGTTTAAGGTCATGTACTTGTCAGTCACAAGTATTTCCGGAATTTAACCCTTCATTTTTTCTCAGAAACTGAGTAACCGGGCTTCCCAGGCCCGATGCACGTGCTCGCATTGTCATTTAAAATTGTGAAAGAGATCAGGCATTTGCAAAAAAGGTCTTGCTATTTGAGCTATGACGATGAAATGAAAAGACTACAGAAACTATTAGCTGAAGTGTCGACTGATGAAGAGGCCCACCAGCGGCCGAGCGGTAAAGTCGCTGAACACTGGTAGTTCGGTCCGAGGTTCGAATCCCGCGAACGGGCTGGCTGCATGGGTGTTTTCGTGGTTTCCCCATGTGTAACGTGTATACGAGCCAGTTTCCCTTAGAAAGTCCTCCACGAAAGGCATCCCTCCCCTTAGGCAGATAGCCCTAGTGTGCTTTGCCATAATTAAATACACCACACCACATCGACTGATGAAGATACAATTAATGAAGAGGGCAAAGAAATAGTTGGTAAAGAACAGTTTAGTGATCACCAATCGAATTCTGAAGAGACTTAAGTGATAAATCTAGTGATGAATTAAGTAACTTTGTGTCCGTCAGCGAATTGTTGTCTTGGAAAATATAATGTCACAAGATGGAATAAAAAAGAACCAAGACTTGTTGTGAGAACTCTTGCTCACAAGATTGTGTGAAAATTGCTCAGAAATGTTTGTGAAGCAAAATTTGTGACCTCCCCTATCAATTCTTGGCAACTGCTTATGGATAAAATAATAGTAAAATTGTAGTAGATTGTGAAAACATTTATATCAAATCCATCGCCGTCAAATTTGAAAGATCCACAAATATTACAGAAAATTAGAGCATTTATCGGTCTTTTTTATTCTGAAGGACTCCACAAGGCTTCTCACATAAATGTTCTCGACCTTTGGGTGACTAACGGAACAGTGCTTGACAATTTTCATCGAACAATGTCTAACAAGCGTTTTTTATTTCTTATGAGATGTTTGAGATTTGATGACATAAGAGATCGCTTTTGTAAAAGGGAAATAAATAAACTGGCTCCAATAAGATATGCCTTTGAAAAGTTCGTTGAAAATTGCAAAATCGTTTACAGTCTTGCCGTAACGGACCGAAAATCACAAATTTGCTGCGCTATGTGTGCGAGAAAAATGTTTGTGGTAACACAGCACGATTATTTGCAAAAAAAAATATGAAATGTAAGTTTTATTTTGAAATTATTGCTGTAAAAATTTAATATTGCATAAATTGGTACCAAATTTCATTTGCGCTCAAAAAGAAATCAGTTTAATTTTTGTTGTTAATGATAAATAATTTCAGTCTTAAAATTGTTTTTAAATACAATTTTATTAGACTTATTAAATTAAAAGTATATTTCTATATTTTATACACTCTCTTTTTTTATTATTTAAATGTTTTTCTTCAATTACACAAGCAATTATATTTTTGTTTTGCTAAGAAAAACGCTTTGGGCCTACGAAGCCTGGCGAATGTCTTTGCGGGTTAAAAATAGTTGGTCATAAATTTGTTCAAATATTTTTAGGTAAATCACAGTATTCTTAATTAAGATACAATAACAGACCAAACAAGCATTAATTTAGAAGTAACAAGTTCCCTTGATGATGGTTGTTTTACTCCCATAATGATGATTGTTTGACTTCTAAATGAACACTGTATTCTTAGTTGATTTAAAGAAAACTGGGCCCACCATTCATGCTCCTGACATCACCCCAAATGCAATTTTGTGGTCGTGAAGGGATGTTTTGTAAGTCAAATTAGAATTTTATGAGGACCAGTATGTCCTGTTCTGGGAATTTATGATATCTGACACCAAGTTTTGTCTATCAAGAATAAGAAGTATAAAAATAGGTTCAACAGTGATAGTCAGCAACCAGCAGTAATTTACGTGTTTAGCTTTATAACCTCTCTCAGTTCCTACATACATATTATTCAGTATGATTTGAAGTTCAGAGATTTCAGCATTCACTTATACTTCTTTCATGATACATTAACTTGCTGTGCAGTCTTCGAGTTTATTTTCGTGGCCTACTTGCAATCCATGGCTAAAAGTCACAGATGATTTGTACGAAAACTCATTAAAGTGTCTTTTTTTATTAAACGATGCAAGTGATAAAAATGTTTTTTATGTGTAAGGTATTTTTGTGTTGCTTGCATAAGTTAATTCATTATTAAAAACTATATTTTTATCATTTAAAAAGTCTTTTTAACATTGTGAAAAATCTCCTGATTTTTGAGTGTCACAGGTTGGCAAGTACATGTTAGAGTTCTGCATTATATTTAAAGAAATTAAATAATGAAAAATCTGCATAAATGTATGTATATTTCTCGCATTGGGATAAAACAACGGTACATAGAGCCATCAAATTTTGAGTGACATAATCCTCCTATGAATATGGGCATGTGGAAAACAAATTTGAAATTTAGAATTTGTTTTATTATTGATTTCATGTTTTGTAAAACTTTAACGAATTTTTGGTTAACAAACTCAACAATTTCAAAGCGAGCAATGGCAACACTCTACCGGGGGGGAGACCTTTTTATTTCCAGCGTGCGGAACTGTGTATCAGAAATTCTAAAGATATGCTCATTTTAAAATTGTTTTGCGACATTGCTATTGAACTAAATTTTATGGTTTAAGTGCAAAAAGCATGATATTTCATATATAAAGGTAACCCAAAAAACGTTAAAAAAATGCCCCTTTGGACGTAATTTAAAATCTAAAACCTTTTTTTTTTTTTTTTTTTTTTTTTTTTTTTTTTTTTAATGAGTGTCTTACTTTGGTAAAACAGGCAATGATAATTTGAAGAATATACACTGAACTTCTGATTATCCATTTTATAAATATTCTGATTTACCCAAAAAAGTGAGCAGTTTAAGAATGATACATTATTATTTATCTTAACCAATATTTATAATTTCTTTTCTCATTCCTGAACTGGCAATTTCGATGAAGTGGGTGAGATGAGTCATTGCTCTTGGAATGCTGTGTCGTAATATATAACTGCTGGAGGTTCTGATGCAGTGATTCTCAAAGCTGACACTTCAGACAATGTTAGAAACTTAATGCTAGTGTGGCTGTAAAAAAACTGGTCCTGCATATTATAAAAAGATAAAACTCTACTAATGAAGGTGTAACAGCAGTGTTATGAGGTTGTAATAGACCAAGAATTCCTTCTTAGTGATTAAAAAAGTTAAAATGGACATGAAATTTCCAGTTGTGAGCTACAATAAGGCCGTGAAATGCATAGGATAAGATATATTGGCCAAGAAACTGTATCCAAAGTTAATAATGTCATAGCTTTGTGCTTACTTCAGTGATTCGCTAAAAGAATATTAAAATGGCTTATAAACTAAAGTATTGTTTTTTTCCATGTAGAAAATTTTTAAAATCCTCTTCATATAAACCTCTGTATATTTCATAATTTTTTTAATGAAGGTCCTATTTTAAACATATTGTGCATTCTCTTTGTAAGAACTTTATAAGGTTAGTGTTTTTATCAGTGTATTTATTTTAACTTTTATGTTAAATAACCCTCTGAGCATCATGACTGTCTTTATCCACTCATGATATTTTTTGTCACTTGGTATATATTAACTTCTAATTTAAGATATTTTACTTTTTTTAATTATGTAAATATCATGTTAACCAATGTAAGTTTATGAAAATAGACTAAAATAAGTAAATGTTGAAATTTAACTAATACAAGTCTTCATAGCAGATCTAAAAACATGTGTCGCTCAGAGGGTTAAAAAGTTCCATTTGTGTAATGTAACATCCATTTTTGATTATCAAATTTTTCGTGCACACTTAATCAAAAATTAGCAATTCAGTTCATTAAGTATTGCCAGTTTTAACTCTGTTTTAAGCAGTTGTGGACAGTATCTGTGAAATGCAATGTATTAGTGTTTGCAATACTTGAAATGTAGTCAAGAACAAAAGCCGTGCAGTACTGAATATTTTTTAATGTAATGTGATGTAATGATTTTTAATAATCATTACATCACATTACATTAAAAAATGATAATTTTTAATGTAATGATTTTTAATGTAATGTGCTATTTCTTTTATTGTTATAGGTGAATGCTTTTGACCCAAATATGGTATCAGAGCCCAATTATCAAGAAAGACTGAATGGACATAAAGAAGCATTGGAAATTATCAGAGGAATGGACAAAACTAGTGTCAATGAAGATTTCTTGAGAATTATTATATGCATCATGTTGTAACTTCAAATAATTCATCTTTAAAATTTCTCCGTAAAATTAATAATTTTTCAATTAAGTAATGGTATCAGGTTCAATGTCCGTCTTACTGCTGCATGACTCGGAACAGTTAACAAATACACCGGAAGGGTACAAAACCCTTTATTTTTCACTCTTTACAATAATTGCCGTACGGAATACAGAGACCAACTACTTGTGTAAGAATAAAATAATTTAACTAAACTCTAACTTAACTTTGGAATAAAAACGGGAAGATTGGGCCGTAAAGACAACAACTGAACCCAAACGTTAAAACTCACGAGGATTAAACCTCTGGCCTGGAAGCAAAAACTGAAAAAAACTTCTAAGGCAGCGGCTGCTTCGACTAACTCCTTCCTCTCTCTCGCTTGGCAAAAAGCCACAACTTAAGTACTTGGCGTTCGCCAGACAAATTTTGCATAAATAGTTAACGCTTTTAATTCTGGCCGGAAGAAAAAATAGAAAGTGATAGTAAAGATTTAAAATAAAATAAACGTTAGTAAAACTGAAGATCCTTACAATGGCATATTAAACTTTAAAGCATTTTGAATTTTTCAGTAAATTTTTTATTCAGTTTTGTATTATATAAAATGTGTAGTGTAAAAAAAAAAAAAAAAAAAAAAACTTTGGAAGAAATTTATAGTTGTTATGAAAAGGAGTTTAATTCGCAAAACATGTTATAGTCACTGTTATGTTAATTTTTACTATATTAAGTGAGCTTACTACATTAGGTAAACTGCTAGACTCAGTTCTTGATCAAAAAGGTTCGTTATGCAATATTTCAGGTTTTTAGTTGATGTAATATAGATAGATATATCAAATCCATTTCTCATGTGACTATAATGCACTGCAGGTCTTACATGAAAGTCCTTCTTCATTTATGAGTATCCTACGTGTACTTTGTAATTATACACTTCTAGCTTCTTTGGTATAATCGTGATTCAGTTACTTCAATTTATTTTTTTATTTATTTAATAAACTTGAAAATTATATATTTATGCACAAATGCAAAACTAGAATTATTTATCATCTCTTACTAGTAAAATGGTAAGGTTCTGGAAAAAATATATATTTATGATATCGAGTTATGTACTTTGTTGTGAACAAAAAAATGATTTATGATTATTTATTATTAAAGTTATTTAAAAAATTATCATAAATATTAGTTTTCGCAATAAAATGTAATAATTGCTAGAGATTTCCTCTATCAAAGCTCAGAAGAAAATTTAATTTTGATTTAGAATATTAAGAATAATTTTCATGCCTGAAAGTTAGTAACAGATAAATTATTCTTATTTATTCATTGTTAATTTTAAACAAATTAATTGCATTTTTCTGCTCATAAACATTAATTTCATTATTAGTTTTATTAGGTGATATGGAAAATAATACTTCATAATGTTATTAGTAAATTAAATGTGAGTTATGAAAAATAATAAGTACTATCCTCACAAAGTAGTAATATTTTTACTGTAAAATAATATTAAAATATTATCCTACAAATTCACATCACCTGAAATCTTATAAGCGTTGAGAAAATTTTTTGGGACACACAATAAATTATTTTTTCAACACAACTCCACCAATAAGCTGAACCCCCAACAAGTTGATTATTGCTTTTTTTTTTTCCTCTAAATGTTTTCATAAGAAAAATTAAGCATTGTTTGAAATTCTGTGGGACCACAAACACTTTAAATATTGTGTAGAAAATCTACTTTTAATTTGTGTTGTAAAATCTTTTGAAAAATTTTAGTGACATATTGCTCATATGTATACATTTTACATTTCATGGTATTTAAGATTTTTTCCTGAACTCTTTCTAAAACTAATTTACCTTATTATTCATTTGATATTTCTTTTTTTTGGGGAGATCTCTGTCTGGTATTGCTGAATATAATATTTGAAAATAGCTGCTGAAACTGCTTATTCATTTATTCCTCCTATCAAATCCATATAGATATAATATTATTGTAGGCATTAAAGTTTGAGATCAAAATTTTCTAAATGCATGTAACTGTTATGCATCAGAGTAATCTTAATATGACTGTGCAATATAGATTGCTACAAAATTTAGTTAGAGTCTGCAAAGTTTGTATTCATATCATGAGCACGAGCGGTCACTGAACGCTTGTATCCATATCACGAGCACGCACGTCACTGAACACTACTAGTTCGGTCTGGGGTTCAAACCCCATAAACGGGCTGGCTGCATGGGTGTTTTCATTGTTTACCCCATCTGTAACGTGTATACGAGCCAGTTTACCTTCAAAAGTAGATATTTGGTTTGAGAAAATGTCACATTATAGCTTCATAATAAATCATTTATGCATATATTTTTATTTGCTATAGTGTGAGGTACCAAAAAAAAAAAAAAAAAAAAAAACTATGAAATACATGTAAGTGATAATACTAAAAGATTATGTAGTAGGCTTTGTAAAATATTGAAATTCAATTGATGAACTAATATTTTCTCCTGTACATTCTATGTTTCTATTAATCACAACTATGATTAATGTGCCATTTTTCTTATATTGAAAAAAGGTTAAAAGACAGTACCTTATGTACATATTCTTCAGTCAAATATAGAAAGTAGTGATTTCTTTTTTTTTTTTTTTTTTTTTTTTTTTTTTTTTTTTTTTGAAATTGTTGTAGAGCTAAAGCTTTTTTGCTTCCCTTCCTAACATTTGATTACTTATGTTGGGCTTTCTCTAGTACTATGGTTTTCTTTTATTTTGTTAATTATATCATCTTTTCTCTTTTTCCAGTGTGATGATCTTGCTTTACGTAATAGTGCATCATATTTGCTTCAAGAAAGTGCCAAAGTTTTTGCAACAGTGATGCCTGATTTTCAAGAATTATGTAATTTATTGATATTTGATACATTGCTACCAGAAGTACAAAAAGGCTTAAAATGCAGTCTTGAGGTAAGAAAATGTAAATTATTGTTTAAATGAATCTTATCTTTTAAAAGTGAGAATATCAACTACTTTTACTTCTGAATTTTAAAAAAGTGTTTGTTGGTTCTTTGTTTAAAACAAAATTAATAAATAATTTCATTCCTCTTACTATGAGTGACTAATATGATATGAAACTTTGAAGTGCTAAATGATAAAATATGTTTTTTTCATTTATTCACATTGCAATATCTGAATATAATGTTACTGATAAAAAAAAAAGAATATGTAAAAGAGAAATTTCTGAAATTAGCCTAATAATTGTTTCATTTAAATTATACTGTCAAAAGTCGTTAATCCGGACTCGTCGGGACTTCGGCGATTCCGGATTATCGATTATTCCGGATTATAGATCATCAGTTTAAATCTCGTAAGATGGCATGCAGAAATTCTAAAATTAAAAGTATGAAACCGTAATTTATGAAATAAAGAACAATTATGATCTAAAGGGTATCAAAATTTGCAAAAAGAAAAAGCTTAATATTTATTTGTTTACTTTATTAAACATTTCTTTCAATGTAAGTTGTTTAAGTTTTGCTTCGTTTCATATGATAATACTTTCTCTTTAATTCTATTAAACAGACATAATTTCTTGTTCAGTTACAAAGTTCCGCAGTTCAAGTCCTATAATTGCTGTGTCGAGAATACTGACTAATTTGTCAATCGAAATTTTTTCGTTTTCAATAACCTCTGTCACTTTCTTCGCTATCGGAAGCGAATTATAATGACGAGGAACTTGTTTTAAATCATATCAAAGACGGAGCACATCGAGATGAAATACTACATTTCATAAGGAATTATAAGCCTAATAAAATAAAAACATCTGCCCTGAAGATAAGGATAGTGCTGACAGATCAACTTCCAATTCATCCCCCCGCCGAGCAGCGTGAAATTGATAAACAGATTTCGGATTTCAAAACATACTTTCGCCTTAGATCCTTTACATATTAACAAATATATATCGGAAATTCTATTTGATATAATCGAAAGTTTAAACTTACTTTTATAAAATTGCTCTTACAGTCTGCAAAAAATAATAAGCCGGATCCAATTCGAAAATTAAGGAACAACGCAATCATCAACATTAACTGAAATAGATAATTATTTAGCTTATACGTTAATTATACATAAAACGTGCACGCGAAAACGTATTCTGCACTTGCGCACACTCATATGCGCAGTCGTAAAAGGTCTTACGCGCACGCGTAAACGCCTATGCGCATGTGTCAACGCGGCGCATGCGCAGAAAGTTTTTAATTTTGAGGTCCGAATTATAGATCATTCCGAATTATGGGTGTCCGAATTAACGACTTTTGACTGTATATTAAATAATAAAAGGTACAAAGAAAAAATGAAATATTCAATAAATATGAATGTATGTATAGTGATTATATTTTAATTAATAGATGCTAATATTAAAGTATAAAGATATTGCATAAAATCTAAGTGAATATGTCAACAATATATATCCTGAAAATTATGTACTATTAATTTCTTTATCAATGTCATCAAGATGTAATTCTTTTCCTGGTTTTACTCATTTCTTCGCACAGAAAGTACAGCTTTGACTGAAAGGCACTAATAGGAATATATGTAAATATGTATATTGCTAATAAAAATACATAAATGCTCTTTGAAAGAAATTCTTCATAATTAAATAGTCTCATTACAGCTTCTTTATACTCATATAGATTTGTCTATATTTATATTTAGCCTTGTGTTTAACTTGTAATCACTTATTAATAATTTTTAAAATATTATTTAATTGTAATTAATTTAGCAATAATTTTACATTTCAAATGAAAAATATTAAAGGACCTTATAGAACTCTCCTTCCACATCTTTTGTATTTATGTCTTTTGCAAACTTTTGAGCTGTGAAAATAAGTTTGTAGCTTGTGATAATGACAAATGTTTCTAAGAGTATTTAAAATTGCTTTTGCAGTATAATTCAGTATAATTAATGGTAATATAATTTTTGGAGGGAAAAGGACCATGCTTTAAGATATATATTTTATGTTTAAATTGATCTCTATAAAGCATTTTTTTTTAATCTAAGAAGATTGAAAACAGGTAAAGTTATCGTATGTGGTCATATTGGTTTCTGTAAAATTATCCTTATATTTATTAATTTCTATTTGTAGCCTTTGTAAACTTTTAGCACTTTTTAAATTTTGTTGATTATAAATTTATAGGCAATTCGTCATGAGTTCATCGGAATACTGTCCACAGTTTTACACAGCTGTAAAGATCATCCTCGCTTGAAAGACTTGTTTGCTTTATGCCATGAAGACCCAGACCTTGATTTTTGGGAAAACATGCGACATTTACAAGTTAGTATCTTAGTATTTAACAATTTTTATAGTGGATTTCAAAACTGTTCATTAAATTAGAATATTCCCATCTTTGTTTACATTTATTATAATTTTTTATCTTACAATTTCCTTCATATGGCTGAAAAAAAAAATAATTTTAATGTAAACTTTGAAGGTTTATTGTTATGGCTTTATAAATGAAGTAACACACGTAATGACAGAATGATACAACTTAGAGAAATAAACTGTAGAGCCATCTTGTTCCAAGTCAGACTTAACTAATTTCATGAAAAATTTGGGGACAGCTAGAATAGTTGGCAGATGTTTAAAGTCATTAATTTTGTTAAAAAAAATATGACAAAAGTATGAGATAAGCATTGTATCTTTGAAAAAGGAAGCTGTGGGATATAATCATATCTTTGAAAAAAGGAGCTGTGGGATAAAATATATTGCTTGGATCCTTGCGAGATGTATCACACCAGTTTAAAGCTGAGGATAATAGCCTCTTAAGACAGTAATTCCAGTTTCCTTTTTGAGGCAGTTTTCATTCTTTTGTGTGATGCAGCACTGAATATACAAATATTAATTTGAAAAGGAAATCCCTGGCAATTGTTTGCATACCATCGATGTTAAAAAAGATTAAATTAATATATTTTCATTTGTGCATGATTATTTGATTTCTAGACTAAATTTTTACCTTAATGTTTTATTATTCTTAAATTTAAAAAATAAACGCTTGAATTTTTGCATAATGAAATCGGCGTTTTTTGGATAATTATAAATATGATTTTAGACTATATGCCTTAGTATAAATTTCTTACATTATTATATGTAGTAATGGATATTTTTAAAGGAATTATTGGATTATCCAAAAAGTTCAGCAGTATTTTTATGATGAATACAAATGAAGCTGTACAAAAACATTAAAAAAAATTATTGAATCACATAAACACTCCATTTTGTTCTATCCTTTTTTGCTATTTCTCCTGCAGCTCAAAAATTCCTTTTTTAAAAAAGGTCATTATGTTTATTTGTAAAGACGTTATTGAGGTGCAGTTTGCTAATCTCCAAAGATATGAACTCCAGTCCATTCAGATAATTTTGATGTGACCCAAAAAAATGAAAATCAAAATGTCCAGCTCATGCTGAATAAATCTTTGTCTGACATTCATCTAAATATGGGGCTGAGCATTATCATGATGAACAGCATCTTGATGATTTATCAGTTCCGGATACTTTGCTTTGATTTCTACTTTTAAAACTGTGTTTGGGAAATATATTTTTACAAATTTATTGTGTGATTTAATAGCATCAATTTACAGTGTACAATTCCTTTATAGATCTGCAATACACAAAGTATTATCTTTGAGGAATGCAGCCCCCATCTTGGGGTTAATAAAGGAGATTTTTTTTGCTTAACCTATATTTTCTTTTTTTTTTTTTTTTTTTTTTTTCTTGTAACCTTATTATAGAGGATCCACTTCTTATCTCAAATATAGAGCCATTTAAAAAGAACTTCTTTATTTCTTTCAAGAAAACAATCACATGCCAAAAAGCAATCTTATTCTACTCTATTAAAGCATGAGGTACTCATACATGCTTTCAGCTTACACTTCAAGTCTTCTTCATATAATCATGCACTGTACTTTTCAGAATACTTAGTCTATCTGATAGCTCCTGAACAGTATAACTATAGTTTTCAGCAGTAGTTTCTTTAAATAGGTCTTTGTATACAAAGAATGATTGTCTGAAGCAAGCATCATCTTTGAAACTGAAATTTCTGTACTTAAACTTCTCAAACCACCTTTGAACTATGTCATCAGAAACAGCACTTATACAGTACAAAGTACATAATCTGGACGTCCATAATCCGGAATGATCTATAATCCAGACTTCAAAGCCACAAACTTATGCATGCGTGTCAGTAAAGCATTTACCCATGCGCGCTTTCGATAGTAACAGAGGCATGAAGAAAGTAACAGAGAACGTTATTGAAAATGAAAAACTTTCGATTGACAAGTTAGTCGGTATTCTCAACACAGCAATTACAGGACTTGAACAGTGGAATTTTGTAACTGAACAAGAAATTATGTCTGTTTATAGATTTAAAGAGAAAGTATTAGCACAAAAAACGAAGCAACTTAAACAACTTACATTGATAGAAATGTTTACTAAAGTAAACAAATAAATATTAATTTTTTTTTTTTTAATTTTGATACCCTTTAGATCATAATTGCTCTTTATTTCATAAATTAGGGTTTCATATTTTTAATTGTATAATTTCTGCATGCCATCTTACTAGATTTAAACTGATGATCTATAATCCGGAATCACCGAAGTCCCGACGAGTCCGGATTACGGACTTTGTACTGTATATGGCACAGATCTTATATAATGAAACTAGCTTTTTTCTTCTTTGAAATAAAAGAACGTAATATGATGAAACTGCACTGAAAGCAAAAGTATGCTGCAGCATGTGCTAAACGTGTGAAGCATTAACAGAAAAGACCATATTTAAACATCTATATAGATTATGGTCACTTTTTGTCAGTAACAAAATAATAAGAAAAAAAGCTCTTCGATTTGAAAAACTGCAGAACTTTTCGGATGACTCACTGAAATATAAAAGTAGTTTTAAAACACTATCTTTTGAATGTCATTTTTATTATTTATGTGTCTTTTTGTTTATTATTTTTTAATTAAAGGTTCACAGGCGTGCTCGAGCTCTTCTGCGTTTTTCTAATCATTTAAAAAACCAACATGAACACGGAGAAAAGATAACTGTTCATTATCTACTTGCCTATATGATTCCAATTGTATCCTCCTTTCTTTTTGATGAGGCATATCGAAAGCATGTTCATGTTGTTGATGCTGCAATTGAAACACTAGGCAGCATTGCTAATGTTCTCCCTTGGCATCATTATGAACCCCTTTTGAAGAATTATTTGAATATGTTGTCTAAAGATGCTGAACATCATAAGACTGTTGTGAAGTAAGAATTTTATTTATTCAGTGGATTTATGTTATGTTCTATTATTATTATTTTGTAATAAATTTTGCATACAAATCTAATTTTTGTTTAATTAGTATGTTTCCTTTAAAAAATGAAATTATTTTTAAAAAATTTCTTAATTCCTAACATTACTTTAATGTGAATTATGTATTTACTTTCTTATTTTGTCTGTTGCCCTGTTATGTTATGTACTATTTTTCAGGTATTTGAATATGCTAAATTCAGTAATTTATATTATATTCATTATAAGAATACATAATGCTAATATTTACTTGTTCATATTTTAACTCTCGGAAGACCATAATGGCCCAGACGGCTTTTCATTCAGACAACCACAACCACCCCAAACAGCCAAAATTCCAATGTTGTTTTCTGCCATTCCCTAAGGTATGCAATAGCAGGTGCAGTTTCCCCAAATGAATTGTATCAGTTTATTGCAGATGGCTTGCCCTAAAAGGATTTATTTGTTGTTTCGTATCTTTATTTCTTAGAAGTAGAAAGGATGTCATTTGAAATCTTCACTCTTCTTTGTATGCTAATGGGTGAGGTGGGGAGGAAATTGCTGTGACTCAAAATACCGAACCACCCGAAAACCATTTTGGCAGTTCGTTATTTTAGTATACTGGTTAATGAAGTCTTCGGTTTTCAAGGAGTTAAAGGTGTGATTTGTCACTAGACAATTGAACATCAGTCATGTAAAATGGCATCATCCTGAAAAAATGAGCATGTTATTTATCAGTTTTTCTGAATATGAATTGATTATTTTAGCCAGATGTAATTTTTAAAAGGCACTTCAAGATAGAAAAGCATCTGACGTAATTTTCTCATGTAGATAGATTGTAAATGGTAGCTGATTTCCTAGGCCATAGTAACATTATATCATCTACTAGGCTTTTTTTTTTTTTTTTTTTTTTTTTTTTTTTTTTTGGGACTTTGTAAAAAATGAAAACTTTGTTGCAAAATTTTTGGGGAATATATGTATTTTTAAATTTAAAGATCTTCTTTTCTTTTTATTTAATGTTGACATATTTGCTCAAAACTTCATCGGTGTTTCTCTAAACTTAAAGATCTCTTTTTCTTTTTGCTTATGAGAGTAATTTTTAATTAAATTATCATTAGAGGTGGCCTAGTATGGATCATATCATGTCCATTATCACCACTGCAGTAATTATGGTGTTAGAATAGCAATGGTATGAAAGTTAGAGGTAATTTTTCTGTTGTTTAATTTTAAATCTTGAAGGTTTGAGTTCATAGACATATATCACGACAGCTGGAACAAAAGCATTTTAAAATTTCATTATTAAATACGTCATGTCTTTTCTGTGAGCGAGACTGCTACATATTTTTTTGCAATATGTAATGTGATATTCAAGATTACAGCTGTGGCAAGAGCAAGTCCCATTCTTGTTAAGTGACAGATTTGAGAGTCTCAGTGCATTGAAGGAGGTATATGTAAGCTTTGATATGCTAAATAAATCCTCTGTGAGTTGAACAGCATTTTAGTGAGAGGTATTGTGATGCAGTTGTTGTTTCAAGTTAAGGAGGAGACCCACTAGCAGCTGATTAGTAAAGATGCTGAATATTGATAGTTCAGTCCAAAGTTTGAATTCCTGTGAATAGGCTGGCTGCGTGGGCGTTTTCATGTTTTTCTCCATGTACAACATGTATACGAACCAGTTCCATTAGTAAGTCCTCCACAAAAGCATCCTCTTCCTTAGGCTGATAGCCCTTGTATGCTTTGTCATATTTAAATAAACCAAACCAGAGAATATAGATATCAAGATAAGGAAATAAGTGGAACAAATTGTATCATGTGTGAGTCACCCCTGAAGCAGTTTGCTATGCTAGATTTGATGTTAGTACGGTGGTGGCACTGAGTTTCTCTCATTTTAATATTGAATCATAGCCTTTCTCATTTAATAAATGAATATCATAATGAGTGGACTAAAAGCATTCTTCAAATTCAGATGCTAAATATGGCATCTTTATCCTGCAAGCAAGCAGAAACTATTTCGTGCATATCCCGGTCTGTAAATTCAACTCTATCAAGCTAAATTTAAAATATTATATCAATGAGTTTCTGTAAAAGCAGTCTCGCATGGTGGGTAACTCAAAAAGTCCACAAAAAAGCCTTTAAGCTTTTATTAAAGGCAATTGAAATAATGTACTATTAAAACTCCATATTTCTTGCTCAGTTTTTCATCGTTTTAAAGAATCTGATCCTTGAATTAACCTGTGAAAAATACTGACTATTTTAATATGAGTTCAAAAGATTGAACTGTAAATTTTCACATTTAAATTTATAGATACTCATGGATGTACTATTTTAATCTTTAATCAAGCCTATACAAGCAAGAAATTTTGTTAAGTTCTTGCTAATAAATTATTATAACTAAATAAATCTGTTATGAATTTAAAACCATTTCACAGTTTAGATAATTTGAGATTAATTTGATTTGTAATTTTATCATTTAGAGCAGGGGTGACCAAACTTTAAAACAGTAGGAGCTGCATGGTAGATCACATGAATATTTCCAAAATTATATCCAAATTTATATCATTTCCAAAATAATAAAGCAGGTTTTGAATATTAAGAAACTTTTAATAAACTTACAAGTAAATTTATGAGAATTTCACAATTTATATGCGATTAACATAGTTACATATAAATATGAATAAATAAATCTCGTATCTTCTGCTTTGTGTTCCAAAAGTGTAACTCCAGGAAAATATAAATTTGTAACGCTTGTGCTGTTCAACTGAGCATTCTTTCTTCAGGTAGAAAAATCAAATATTTTCTTCTAATGTCCTTTATCCCCCTCCATTTATAATTATTATTGTTTGATTTTAGTAAAAGTAAACTGAAACCAGAAATATATGCACTGATCTACAATTATGTAAACAAATTTTATTTGATTGAATTATAAATCATTACGAAAAAAGGGGGGTCAGGTTTTTCCCCCTTTTCTTTCCTTTTTCTTTTTAACTCATAAACAGTCTTTTCGAAGGAATAAATTAAGTAATAGGGGGTCAATGCATATTGCAGATAAACTGTTATTCAGTAAAGAAAAATTAGTTAAAAATAAGCTATTAACCTTTTTGCGTAAAAATTAATTTTGTTTTCCCGTACAGTTAACAGGAGGACCAACATACTGAGATTTAATCTTACTGTAACTAATTGAATTAATTCATTAGATGAGAAATAGATTATAAATTACATTTTGTTTTATCTGATGCTGATACATTCAAATTCACACATCTCGAGAATCTTCGGAAAGATTTTAAATACCAAACATTGAACCTTAGAGCTTTTTTCATCACTTATGAGGGCACTCCGATAAGTACTTAGCCTACAAAAGAAAAACAAAAATTTTGCAAAAGTGGCGATTTATTTCTCAACATAGTCTCCTTTCAACTCGATACACTTGACCCAGCGATGCTCCAACTTCTTTAACCCATCTGAAAAATACGTTTTCTGGAGGTCTGCAAAGTAGGTCTCTGTGGCAGCGATAACCTCCTCATTCGACTCAAATTTCTGCCCGGCGAGTGACTTTTTCAAGTTTGGAAACAAAAAGATGTCACACAGGGCCAAATTTGGAGAATACGGTGGATGGGGCAGCTGGGGTAGCCTAATGCGACCAATTTGGCCGTGGTGATGGTGGAGGTGTGAGCTGGTGCGTTGTCGTGGTGGAAGAGCACTTTTTTCTTCTCCAAATGGGGCCGTTTTTTTCTGCAATTCAAGGTCGAATCGGCCCAATAGTTCGACATAGTAGAGCCCTGTGACCGTTTTGCCCTTCTCCAGGTAGTCGATGTAGATCACACCTTGTGAATCCCAGAAAACGGTGGCCATCACCTTTCCGGCCAATGGGACAGACAGTCTTTGCCTTCTTCGGAGCACATTTGCCGGGTAAAGTTCACTGTTTCGACTGTTCCTTGGTCTCTGGTGTGTACCAGTGAATCCATGTTTCATCAACTGTCACGAAACGGTGCAGAAACTCCTTCGGATTGTGCTTAAACAGTCAGGTTTCGTAGCGGTCCTTACAAGTGCTTATAAGTCCTTATATTTGAAAATAAAATATAAAGGCCCTTATAGGTGCTTACTTTTTCTTATTTTTTATTTTTAGTGCTTTTTTTCCCTTTTTTTTAATGAACGTGCATTTTTTTCCCGTACCAAAGCCGAAACTAAATAAACAACTTTTCTTCCTTATATGCAACGTCAGATGGTGAATCATACTCCCGGAAATTGCTTTTCCCTCCTTTCTCTGCATTACTGTAACCTATGGTGCGCGCGTGAGTACAGACAGGTGCACGTTGTTCAATTGGTCAAAGAATTGCGAAAACGGTAGAAAATTCTGGTACATTTGGTATTCTTTTACCTCCCACCCAAATACTACACATGTTTGAATTTCTATCAAGATTTTAATAATTTGCGTTCTCGTTCCGCGTAGTCAGTTCATATTCGTGTTTATTATGATCGTTATGCTTATATTATGAGTATATGCATGAATATGTAGAATAATATAATTGCAGTAACTGCTGAAGTATAGATAAACTTCCAAAAATGGGTGTGTTTTTACACAGATTAGCTTTCTAGGGAATAATATTCGGAATGGCTTAAATAAAAGGAAAGTAATCAAATAGTCAAAATAATTTCTCTCTTTTTTTTTCCCCCAATACTTTATACAGAACAGGGGTTGGGAGGTTCTCCACTTTCCACTTTCTCTGCAAAATCTCTAATATTGAAGCAGCGGATTTTTTTTCCCCCCACTGTCCAATCTGGATTGAATAGGACAAAAGTTTTTGCGGTCTACCCAACCTAAGCAAAGATTGATTCTATTCCGGAAATTATCGCAGTCTGTTGGAAATTAGAATCAGAAACACCACAAATTAGTAAGTCTCTTTTCTTTTCCTTTATTTAGTTCTTTATTCTCCGAATACCGGCAGCTGTTGATTCCGATTGCATAATATCACATGTGGAAGAATTACGCCGCACGTATTGTGCAATAACGTTTGCGGTGTTTTGCAGAGATAATTAATTTTGATGTTCAGTCTGAGATTTGTTTATGAACACTTAAAAGGGTTTTTCTGTGCTTTCTAAGCAGAATATTTCTCAGTTCCATTGGTCTGTTTTTATATGATGCACATATCGAAATGTCAAAATCATTTATTTAGCCAAAAAATCTAAAGAACGGCTACTATCTCCCCCACTCCTCTTTTTCCAGTTACTATCCGGAATATTCGGCAATTTCCAAGTATATGGGTTAGTTAAGCTTTTACTGTTAAATGAGACTGCATGAAGCAATTTCCCATCTTCTGATTTCAGAAATGTGCCTCTTTTTTATTTAAATTACTTTGCTTGGAATATATGTTAAGAGAAAACTGTTATGCTATGAAAATTTAGAAATTGTTCAGAATTTTGATTTAAGTTAAATTATTTAAATATTAATATGAGTGGAAAAATTAATTGTATTTTTATTAGGTGCCAAATGAATACAATTAATATGGCTTATTATTATTTATTTTCTATATTTTTAACTGAAATTTCATCATTAAATCTTGTAATATAGTTTAATTCTGCATAGTTTTTTTTCTTCTCATTGTAAACTAATTCTGTAAATTGAACTGTCATTTAAAATTTTAAAAAAAAGTTAATTGTTTTCCATGGTTGAGGTAATGCTCATTTTCTTAATAAATATTGCATTGCTTATATTTTAAATTACAAGTCTAATTTTTCTTTTAAGGTTATGCAGTTGCGTATAATGTAATTAGACAGGTGCTTATTTTTTCCTTAAAATGTGCTTGAAAAGTGCTTATAGGTGCTTATTTTTTTAACTAAAATGTGGCTATGAACCCTGACAGTGTCAAACACTGCTCTGAAGTGGTCTCACGGATGAGCTTGTTGTCCGGGGTGAGCAAACGCGGTGCCATCGAACGCGGTGCCATATGATTTAATGACCATATAGACAGCTTATAGTCTTTAAACTGCGTTTTCTCAGTTTGCATTTTTTCGATAAATTCTTTTTTTTTAAAGTCCTAATATGTATATAGATATGGCCTAAATTATTTAATATTTTTACCGCTTAATTAAAATTATATACTTTATAGAAATAAGAATGGGTTTTGCAAAATACTGAAAAGAAGAATTATTGGAAGTGGAAATGCAATTGAGATAATATTTGTTTCAAAGTTTTTGAATAAAAATGTGTTTTTATTTTTTCTCAGAAACTAATTCATTAATTGCAAAATTTATTCTTAAAGTTATTAAGAACTTTCTAATAAATACAATAAGAAAATTGGGAGAAAATCATTGAAAATTGTGAGAGAAAAATGTCATTTTAGTTGTTAAACTTTTCTTCCAAAAATTTAATTAAAAAAAAAGAACCGGCAATTCATAAAACTAGAGAAAGTTCTTAAACAAAAAAAAATCATTCAAAAGGTATCAAGTCCTCTAGTCGAGTTGAAGCCGATATGCGCGTATTTAGTTTTATTTAAACGGTATTTCTGGAATACCCAGCATCAGATACCATTGTCCATACTTGTTTACAAATTTCTGTATTTTGTATGGTTCTATGTAATTTTTTTGGATGATATCGCATCCTCAGATATCTACCAACGCGATTGTTTCGCTGACAGTCCAGCGAGCAGTCATTAAGTGAACCGCGCAATCACGCAGTGGAGTATGGGAAATCTCATCATTTGCCCTGCTCCCAAGAGGTGGGAGTGTTCTACCTCCAATTCGGAGAAGCAGTTATGTTTGCCGCCGTGTGAACGGGACACATTGGAAAAACCAGTTTTCGCTACCGGTCGAATCTGCTCTTGTGAATAGGGCTTTACTCTCATGTCTTAAATTTCGAAGTAAAATAACTCAGAAGAAAATTTTAAATAAACACTTCCTTATTTTAATGCGAGCCTAATGTTTGCACAACCTGTTTATCTCATATGTCAGCAAAATTTTATATTATTGCATGAAATTTATAGTGATCAGCTGTAATACAACTTTGTATGTATCAAACGTGCATGATGATCAAAAATTAGGTAGACAAAAATCATGAACAATTTAAAATAGTGTAATGCTGATGTCAGAGCCAGGAAAATGGTGCAGCTGTGTACTGAGAAGCAGTACTGGGGAGGGGGGGATTTTTAGAAATGCCAAGTAGCAAAAAGTCTAGTGCCTGCTTTAACCTCTAGTGAAATTTGTGTCAAGATAGAAAGAAGTAAGGTCTTCAAATAATGTACAGTAAAATATCAAAATTTAAAACTATTTCACCAGCATAAGTATGCCATAATTTGACAGAAACTTTGAAGAAGAGAGATTTCTATGTTCAGTTGATCCCTCACTCTGTGATGCAATGTTATTGATATTGATGATGAAGGGAAAAGTGTTCTGTCGTGAATAACAACAACTGATAAAACATGAATTAAAAATTTTTATTGGAATCAAAATTGCTGTCAAGCCAATGATTTTCCCCTTAATCCCAAATATCTCAGCATGCACAATTATTGTTAAATTATGTTCTCTACCTAGACTAACCAAGGAATTATTACAAAGGTAGTTTCTTGTGGGAAAATTGTTCATTGCAGCATATTACTATATGTGGTTGTGAAAACTATGAAGGAAATGCATAAAAATGACCTGACTTGCCGAGGGATGGGGAGTCAATTTTGAAGAACACTTGCAGAATGTTGAGACAAGTATCCTAACCAGGTATAAGAGGGAGGATTCAGCTCATCAAGAATAAAATCCTCAGGTTTAAAATTCCTCCCCAAATTGAATTACTGGACTGCAGGTTGAAAGAGGTTTCTTCAGCAATTGTTCAAGCCATTCAAGGATTGAACAAAAGTAGTACCGTACAATGAATAGTAAATTTTCAAAGTGGATCACAGCTGTTGTGAATAATGGGAATCATACAGAAGGAATGTAAACAGAAACAGCCTGAAATAAAATTAACTTGAGAGAAAAGATATTAGACAGTATTACTTTTTAGATCAACTTTGTATTTGTATATTTTGTGCTATTCATTTATGGGATCATTTATGGGTTCAAAAAGTAACATCTGGAGGATAAAATTTGCTGGAATCGTAATTACCAGAAATGGAATTATTTGCAATTTTATTTGTTGCTTTGAGTATAAGCATGCAGTAAACATTGAATAATAAAGAAATGTATCATTGCATGTTTTCAGTTTCAAATTCCATTTATACTTTAAAAAATTAAACTACTGTTTATTGAAAACAAATCACATTTCAGAGGGCAAAAGGCCACAAGTAGCTCGCAAAGCCCAGTTAATGTGATGGAGAGCCGCAGTTTGTCCATGCCTGATTTAGAGAATTCATTAATTTAAATTTTTTAATTAAATTTAAAAGAAATTGAGGTATGTTTCATACTTCTTCTAGATAAGCAGTTGAAAAGGATATGTGAACTATTACAAAGACAATATCTTTTCATATCTTAGTTATTATGAACTGTCTCCGTTATCTCATGAATAAATACTCTTGTATTAGAACATGGGAAATATTTTAATTTTTCATGAAAAAGTGAGTGTAGCTTAGGATATATTATTGCAATTAGAGTCATAATTTTAATGATAAGGAAGGAAATTGCAATTTTAGTTTTCCATTTGATGAGGGAATGCAATTTAGATAAATATTTTATTTTGTTTCAGGATTATTGTTTTCTAATGGTTTTCATTTTGATTTAATGAAAATATAGTTTTTATTTGTTGAAAAAAACACAGTTTAGATAATTATTGCATTTTATTTCAGAATTATCGTGTCTCTTTTGAATGCTTTTCATTTTAATTTAACACTGAAAAAAGAAAACTCTTCTACTTCTGTCCATGATGAAAATATAACTTCACATGATTTAACAGAGGAGATAGATATGAAAGCTGTGTCAGGTACATAATTTTAATATGTGTTTTTAAAAATAAAAAATTTTGGGAATATATATGTAGCATGATAAATATATAGATCAAAATACTAGCTTTTACTTTGCAATAGCCCCTTAACTCTTCATTTTAATTTTGATATTTTCCGTTTCTGTTCTAAAAGAAGTAATTGGTTATAAAAAAAACCTTTATAAACCGTTTAATTTAGATTAATCCATGTCATATGATTTTGACATAACGTTGGTGAACACAGTTTTAACCACTCAGTCACTAATGGGCCTTAATTTATTAATTAAATTTAGCCATAATGATATATATATAGCATTTATTATTATTTATTTAATTTTTAGAACTTAATTCTCATCAATCCTTGGATAATACTGTATTCATGAAGTCTAAAATTTTTTGTTTTAACTGTGCATTTGTAACATTGTAGTAATATATAATAGGATATTAATATGCTCTGATACATATAAGAAAAGTATACATATGCATATAGTTTGAGAATTAATTTGATTTATAATTGCAGATTTTTGTCTTCTCATAGTAAATTTTTATGGGTTGTTATTATACTTCATGAATTCAAACCTTTTTATGAATGTGTGTTTATCTGCCAGTTGTAAGATGATAAGTTATATTAAGTATCAAGAATAAAATGTTTGTGACTGAGTTGTTATATGTATGGGCAGTTGTGTAAGTTTAAAAAATAATCTCAGGAAACAGGCATATAAGAGATTCTGTTAATCTATGTTGATATGGGATAATGAATTATAACTGCTGAATGACTACACTACTTGTCAGAATTAAAGGATATTGATAGAAATAAAACTGAACGAAAAATGACTGATGACTTAGTCAATTTATGACTAAGAAGAATACTGTATAGTTTTAAACTGCACTGTATAGATTATTTTTAATTCCGTTGTTCTGCAGAAATTTTATAAATTCATGCAGTAAGTTAAAAAAAAAAATAGATAATGGAAGATGTAATTTTATATTTATATTTTCAATGTAATTCTTTGTTGGTAATTTAAGAAATAGCTTAGATTTATGATACTGTGCTTTTTTAATTGATGCATAATATTTGTATATCATAGAATAAGACTACTAAAATAGGGAATATGGATATTTTATACTCATAGAGAATTATTCTATCATATACTAATGCTTTTTTTATTTTAGCTGAATGCTTTGAAACAGATGTGAAAGAAACAGTAGAAGTTGTAGAAAATGATGTAAATCAAGCCAATGATCTAACACCAGCTATGGCAAATAAAATATACAATACCATTAAAAGAAATATTTTGCCATTATTGCATCGATCATTAATGAGAAAGGTAAGAGCTTTAATACTTTATTATTGGTGATTAAAAAAACTTCTAATAATTGTCCTAGATTACTAGATTGAGTCTATAGTAAGTGTAGTCAAAAATCCTTTTCTTCAAAATCTTATTCTGTCCACAGACATATAGTTCTTTTAGCATTACTATAACTGTTCATTGCTTTTCTGAAATCTTTTGCAATTCATTCATGCATGCAAAACTGTTTTGATAACGTCTGCTGACAAAAATCGGGTCCATTTAAAACAATCTTAGCCAATGTCAGGAATAAATATTGATTTCCACTGCCAGTGCACTCTCAATAGACTTCAGCTAATTCTATGAGATTGTTAGCTAAAAAACTAGCTATTCAAAAATACTCAACAAGCTGTTCCCATGAATTGCACACTCATGTATCCTATTTTGTAAATAAATTTACTTGAACAGTTACATGTATCTTCATATTAGTGACTCTCATGGTCACACTATGCCTTTGTAGTGGCTGTGCCAATATGTTTGATAATATCCTGATACTTCTTTGCAGAATCATTGCAGTAGGAAAACCTTATCTCGTCTGTCATCCCTATGAATCAGTTGTTTGATTAATTGGTTATGGCACAACATGAAAAGATTATCTACCTTTAGATAGTTCTTCATGGTTCTGAGGAATACTAGCTGTGTTAGCTGTGTTCTTGTTACATATCTGAAAGTCACAGCCTTTGCCAACAAATGAACCATACATAAACAACCTGTGTTCAGTCTCTTATCTACTTGCCTACTCATGGGCCTTCCAGGTTGTACTTCCGTTTTGGTTGATACAATGATTAGCATAGACTGGCTACCATGACAATTGTATCGTGTTGATATTCAACAGATAAGACATTAGCCTGTAGTATCTATACATACTAATAGGGTGACAGCATTTAAAATCCAACTCTGAAAATTTTCTTGTGTAACTGATAATAAGCAAAGATATGTTATAACAGCATTTAAAATCCATCTCTGAAAATTCTCTTATGCAAATGATAATAAGCAAAGATATATTTTAGACTTTTAGACTGCAACCCTTTAACTGCCTGTGATCAAAACTAATAATGCTATAAAAACTTGAAAACAAATTATGGATACAGCTTGTAATAAACTTAAATTGCTTACCACAATTTTTCATGTTACTTTGCCATTTTTATCCATTTTTCAAATAAAGGCTCATATTTATTTTAATGCATATTTTCTGTAATTTCAGGCATCTATAACGTCATAAGTACCCCACAGTACATAAGTCTCTTGTAGAAACTATGTTCCATAGTATGCTATTCGATAGAAGGCAACTTCCAGTCATCAGTTTATATCCTTCATTACAAAAACTAAACCAGTTTATTGAGAATTAATCAAATTTGCATAAAAACCCAGGTGAAAATCTTCTAATTGTAGTGTTACATGTTTATACATTACTGGTGCTAAATCACAATGTTTGGTGATTGTGTCCTTTATGCGCTGTATAATGACTTAGTGAGTCTCATTTGCCTAATTATCTGGGGGAGGCATTTCTAAATCCTTCCATTACTTGAGCTGTTTGGTTAGTTAAATGGTAGATAGTCAGTCTTTTACTATTAGATGGTTCTATCTAAAACATTTTCATGTCCCCAGATTAATTAAAGCAACATCATTCTTAGAACTAAAGATTTTTAAATAAATAATAATATATCTGTATAATGTTTGTTCAAACTTAATGTTGTCATCCAAAATCCTAATAATGCTTCAGTTCTGTTAATTTTGCTTGGTATATAAAACAGATCATACAGCTACAAAACCAAAACTTGACATATAGATTATTTGTAAATATTCTCTCTCAATGCAGCAGTTTATAGAATTATTCATTTTTAATTAATCATCTTTTGGCTTTTCTGAAACTGAACTATTAATCTCTCAATTTCTCTGGTAACTAAAAACTTTCTTTTTAATTACTTTAGTGTTACATGGTTTAATAATTGATTTTAACGTAAAACATTGTACACAGTTATAGTAAATATTTTTTTTTTTAAAGTAAGTCTTACTATTTTATGACTTCTAATTAATTCCCTTAAGAAAAGTAGTTAAATGAAAGTCATTAAAAATTCAAAATATGCGAGTGAAAGTTTTTCATATAAAACATATGATAAGATATTTTGGCACATTCATATTTTATTTCCCAAGTTATTGATTTTTTGATAAGATATAACAGAAAATTATTTTATTTAAAGAAGATTTTCTATAGATAAAATGGCCTTTTGTTTTATATTCTGTGTTTTATTGACTTAACTATTTCAAACTTTGATTTGCAAAATATGTAGTCAAAAATCTTTTCTGTCATTAAAATAGTTTCAAAAATTTTGAAAGCTGTGTGATAATTTAAAACTTTCATATCCATGTTGAATTTCAGTTTTCTTTTTGTTAATGAGTCTGAGAGCAGAAAAATACAAATTTGATGTTGATAGAAAAACAATTAAATTTATGTTTTTAGGCAAAGAGTGATGATGAACATAAATATGCTGGGCATTATTATCCAGAAGATGAAGAAATTTTACGTGTGCCTATTGCTTTAGCCATGGTTAAATTACTTCAGAAACTGCCTCCTGGAAGTCTCGAGAAGAATCTTCCTGGGTATGTTTTGATGCTTTGTCTTTAATTTTTATGTGTGTTCATTAATTTTTTATTGTGAATGTAGCAGTAGACTTAGTGACATAGTGGTTAAAGCTGCTGAGTACTGATAGTTCATGTTAAGTGCCATTCAATGGGGTGATAGCATTGGATTTTCATTATTTTTCATGTGCATAATATGAGCAAAAGCCAGTTTTTCTTTTAAAAGTTTTCCGCAAGACTGGCTCTAGAGCTGGTGAAACCGATATGGTATTAAATTTTTAGAATTTGGAGTAATAACAAACAGCAAAATTTAGGGGTGGTAAAATTTTTTAAATTCCTAGTGCCAGCCTTTCCATTCCCTTGAGTAAATAGCTCTCAAGCACTTTATTGTAATTTGTGTATCCAAACAAACTATGCATTGATATACAAATGTACTAAACTTTAGTAATTGTTGATTTTCATAAAATAGCTTTCATTTTTTTCATTCATAATGATATAAGTCTATTACTAGTACATTGTTATAAATTATTATATCATCAGTGCATGACAAAGTTAAAATGTAATTTAACTGAAAAGAAGTCCAGTGCATTTCACTAGACTGCAACATAAATTCACTGAAGAAAATATTGTTACTCATTGGCCAAGCTGAAACACTTATTTTTGACAGCATTTAATCTTTTACTATAAAATGCCTTTTGCTTTCATGTGCAATAATTTTCATGCTTTTCATTTAAGAAATGCTAAATAAAAGTATGCAAACAAAGAACTTAAAAAGCCAAGGCAGTCACATAATTTATAATTTATAAGAAATGATTTTTCATTCAAAAAAAGTATTCAGTTTGGTACACTTATAATTTTAATTATTATTTACTTTAAGAAAATTATGTTGATAATATACGGAGAAGAATGTTAGATCATTTTTAAAATTTTGTATATTTGTTGCTATTCTGTTTATGGTTATATCGCTGAAAAAATATTCTAAAAAAATTGCAATGAACTCGATTAGCTTAAAAGAGGGTTTTTTTTTTTTTTTTTTTTTTTTTTTTTTTTTTTTTTTTACTTTTACACCTTCTTTTTTACATTAAATGCAATATCTGTATCTTTTTAAATCTCTATTACTTTGTCAACACAGGAGCAGTTAAGCTCATTCATAGCAAGTTCATGTGAATACATGTATTGTATTCATTTCATTTAACACGTCATTGGTGCATCAATCAAAAGTCACCTCTGTACAACCTTCTGTAGATAAACATTGTGTGCATTTTTACTTATACTTATTATAGGGGAATAGAAGCTTATATTAATGTAGTCCTGAAACTTAAATTTAAATTTCTTTGGATTAATTTTGTTAAGTTCCCTTTAAATGGTTATATATATATATATATACACACACACATGTTTAAAAATCTAATCTATGGTTAATGATTAAGACACAATAACACGCTGAATAAATACTAATTCAGAAGTGAAACAACAAAAATCAGCATAATATTTTTTTTTTTTTTTTTTTTCCTAACAGGACTAGTTTTGATAGTTTTACCGAACCACCACCCTCAGCTGCAAAACCGCAAATGCTGAGGATGGTGGTTCGGTATCGAAACTAGTCCTGTAAAAATTTTGAAAATATTATGCTGATTTTTGTTGTTTGACTTCTGAATTACTATGGTTAACAGTTAAATAGGCTTTGAATGAAAATTGTTATGTTATTGGAACTTGTGCATGTTGTTCTGGTGTGCCTTAATTAAATAATTCAGTAAAAGGTTTATTAATTTCATCTGGATAAGCTTGGTTAGCTTGCTTGATTTTTTCTTCTATCATTGGTCTCAAACTGTCATTGGTCATGTGAGCCAAATTTTTTCTTCTATGATTGGTCTCAAACTGTCTTTGGTCATGTGAGCCATATGCTCAATCTGAAAACAGCTGAGCGGCAAACACTTTTTTTTTTAACAAAATGAAAAACTTAATTAGCAAAATATAAAATATTTATCAAAATATATGTAAACAATAATAATGATATCACAAAGGGAAAAATTCAAATTTATGTTTATTTTCTAACGGGTATGTAAAGTTTGTTACTTATAAAACATTTTTATTAGTTGAAATTGGTAATTCAAATATATTGTCAGATAAATAATAAATTCTGAGACTAACATTTATTTATAGTTCTAACATGTTTAGTTTATCATTAAATTATTTAGTATAATTTACTTTAAAACAAAATTAGGAAAGGCATCAGAATTATTAGAAGGTATTAGATCTTCAGAAAAATTTACCATGGAATAAATATTTGGAAATAAAATGTATAGCCTTGGAAAGAAATTACTAAATATGAATCTTCAATACAGATTGTAAATGCTTATTGGTAAATCAAGTTATTCTCTTATTAATTTTTAACTGTAAAAAAGAAAAAAAAAATACTCTAATGTTGCCAAACCTAGCATTCACATATAAGTATATTCCCAAACAAAGTGATTATTCTTAGTGCAAAATTCATTACTAAGCTTATATAGTTTGAATTAATGTTAATAAAATTTTTATCATCAGATCATTTGAATAAGATTTATATCACGCAAGTTAATTAGCGCCATTTATGTAATTCCTGGAGTTTGCAGATTTGTTTTAATGGAAATGACACAATATAAACTCAGACTTCAAATAGTTAAAATCTTGATATTTTTGTAACACTGTGTTTTCAACAAGTACATAATTGAAAAGTCTTCATAAAATTGCTTTGAGTTTGGAATGCTAGTTTGAGACGACTGACTTATATGCATCGTAAAAGACATTTTAGGTGATAATTTTCTTTTTAATAGTTTATTAATGTTTATTTTTGGCTTTAAATAATTAAATTGCTTATTTTTTTCCCTTTTTAAGACTAAAATTATTATGTATAATATATTTTTATATAATTTTTGTAGCTTATTGCTTAAAATGTGTGACTTGTTAAAATCAAGAACTGAGAGCATTCGAGAGACTACTCGAGATACTCTTGTGAAAATGATGCAGTCTTTAGGGCCAAAGTACTTTCACTGCTTATTGTCAGAAATGAAAAGTGTGATGAAGAAAGGCTATCAGGTATTTTCTTAGCACATAAGAGTACTCATGTTCGGTGACCTTTCTGTGTTTCCTTTGTGCATATGTGTCTGTATTATAAATATACATGTGTTATTATATGCTTACTGCTGCAGTATTAAGAGCAGTACCTTAAACTTGATCCTTATATGTGTTTTCAATTAAAACTGGGATGGAACTTTGGCAGATTACTTGTATTGCCCTAATTAAGTAAATAACTCAGTCAAGTTATTGTGGAAAGCTGAAAGATATTTGATAAATAAAATTAATATTTGCTGTTTTGATCACAAAGTATGCAAGTAAAGTTATTAAACATATTTTTAGGAAGGAATGTTTTTAAATAACATATTAAATGCTCGTATTTGTTGAGAAGGGGAGAGTGGTTATTTAGCAATTTAATGTATTTTAAGATTATTATCTTTATATATATATATATATAAAAATGATATACACACACACACACACTATCCTCACGAAATTCCTTTTTTGTCCTTTATTTTTGCAGTTGTTGGTTGTAGACATATACTTCCAGTTATAAAATGTTTTAAATGATGTAAAGATTCATGTTTTGGCATTTTTTACACTTAAACAAGTGAGTTTTATGAAAATTGCAAAATTTAATTTTTTATACATTCCTCCAGTCCCTATACTTAAAATGTTATACTTATTATTTTACAAAAATAAATAAAACACAAAACTTTGACTCCCATATGACCAAAATTAATCTAAATATTTGATTTCAAAATTTGAGATTTTTGATATCATTTTCAATTTGCATTGAGAGGTTGGATTCCCTGTCCCCCATTTAAATGCCATTCAGTTCTGATATTCTATTGTGATTTACTAGCATCTTTAATTTATTATGTTGTTATGTTTGGTATTCCAAAAGAATTTTCACACAAGTAATTTGTGTCTTCAAAGTCTTAAAAATATACTATTAATATTCTCAGGAAGTTTTATTACTCCAGAATCACAGTCTAGTAATCATTAAAAAATTCATCGAAGTGCAAATACTTTTCAGTTTTATAATTGTAAATAATATTAAAAGTTACAAATGGTATGACTGCATGCCAATACTGAATCCAGCCAGCATTTTTCTAGAACATGAATTCTATATGATTCTGTGAATGAAATCTCCGTTTTGAAAAGAAAATATTATATTGATCACTATTATTCACAATAATCTGCATAAAAATGCTCATCATTTAATCTCTTAACATCAGAAGTCTTTTACTGATATTTTAATTTTAGTTACACAGAAATAAAACATTTTGCTTCTCAGTTTGTGTGTGGCCCTTGAATATGATCTCCAGTTTTAACATTAAGTATCTTAGGCAATTTTTTGTTACATGGAAATCAAACCTTTTGCTGTCTATTTTTTAAACAAGTTCAAAATTTTCCTAAATGTAAGTATAATGACTGGATCAAGGCATTTTAATTATGGACTACCTTTGTTACATGATTATAATTTCCTCCATATCTTCGAAATATTATATTTTGAAATCATATTTCTGATAAATTTTAATGTTTTTTATTGCATAACGTTAAAAAAATGTAAATGATGTATTAGGAGTGCGTTTAAATCACATACTTGTAGTTTGGTAACTTTTGAATTTCCTTTAATAAATTAATTGTCCCTAAGTGTTGTTATTAATTCAGGTGTTGTTCTGATTGACTAGGTTCATGTTATGACATTTACAATAAATACTGTTCTTGTTAGTCTGTCTGATCAGATGGTTTCTGGAGACTTGGATGAATCTGTTAATGATTTAACTGAGGTAATTTTATATCACTTATTTTTCATTTAAAAGATATTTTTTTACCATATATTTTGCAATAGTAAATTAAATAATGACTGTCTCATATATATGAAGCTAATTTTTAACATTGATTCAAATAGATTTTTTTTCATACTACTTTTTAATTATACTATATTACTAATATATAATCAAGCTACTAAATAAATTGTAATTATTCATATTTCATAGTATGTACAGTAAACAGACCTCCTGCATAAATGAAACAAATTTTCTTTTTAAAATTAACAGAGTACTAATTGCATAATAAATAATATTTTTTAGCCCAAAGGGGCTATTAATCTTGAAACATGATTTTTGCATTATTTCACATTTTACTCGAATTTGTTGCGAGAAGTAAGATATTATTCTTTCATTTTTAATTTCTCTGTTATTAATTAACAAACTCAGCTATTTAAAAGCAATGCATGCAGTTTTATTTTTTTAACCTTTTAATCTGATTGATTTTAATAAAAATGCATTTAATTCATGTAATATCTAATTAAAAACATTAAATATTTTTATAGAATTGCATTACATGTTTTTTCACTTTTTAAGTATACAGAAAATATATAATGTTCCCGTGTTCACCTGATATCCTATTAAGTGTTTCGCTATTTCATGTGTCATTTCTCTATTGATAGTCTCTATTGATAAATCATATTAAACTTTAAGAAGAGCTCTTTTGAATGATCTTTAAAATCTGAACCCTTTCAAATTTTTTAAAATTTTCATTTTAATTTTATTATTATTATTTAATTACTATTTATTTTACTTCTGATTAGTGTAACTACTTCTTGAAAGGATTGCATATGCAGATAGAGCAAAATGCCTTTCCCCTTTCCGTGATTACAAAATATGTTAAAAAAAATTTTTATGTATTGAGCGAAAACTGTTATAATTAGGCATATATGGTTTTTGGTAATTAATTTTATGGATGCTATTAAGTTAGTAAATTTCAATGTGTAACTTAAAGAATTACTTTGTAACTTGGAGAATATCAAGTCCATATTTCAGTTTTCACCATGTGTTCTTAAATATTTACTCTGTGACACTTATCATGATATCTCAAGGTTCATACGGTCCTTAAAAGTCCTTGGATTTTTTGGAATCGATTTCTGGTCCTTAAAAGTCCTTCATTTTTGGCCAGAATCAGCAGAAAGTCCTTAATTTTAATCATCTGAAATTTCTGTCTGTTTTTACGACTGTCATTTTGAGTGTGAATTGGCATTTTGAGGAATATTTTTGGCGAATTCATTGCCATATATATGGTTATCTTTTGAATGGGTTCATAACTTATTTTGTTTCTATTTCTAATATAAATGATGGGATACTTCAACTTTCTAAGCAAGAAATGAAACACAAGCATTTTGAAATTCATTTTTTCTAGTGAAGAGGTCTTAAACAACTTTTCGCACTTTTGAAGGATGTGAATTCTTTTATTAAAACAATTCTAAATTTGGCGACTTTTCAACATTTTGGCGATTTTAAATTTTTATCCGTTTCTATAAAAACCTTTTTAATTCCGAGATCTCAGAATTTTTCCACGAATTTTTTTAAAACATTGTAACATTGATAAACTTAATTAAAATAATGGTAATATATTGAAATTGTATTTAAAAAATAACATTAAAATAAAACATTTTTATTTTTGCTGTCCTATTATAAAATTTCATTTTGGCAACTTATTATACAATATTTTAAATCTGAAAAATAAACAAGGTATAATGCTATAAAGCGCAATTTACAAAACAGCTTTTAGCAAAAGCAAAATTAGCTATGTAATTAATTAAAAATGTCTTGTTTTTAATTTTTTCATAGTAAGAGTTTTTCCCATGTAATTGTCTCAGAATATTCAAAATTCTCAGAATGTGCATCAGTTTTCTCTTTAAAATTAATTTTATACTTTTACCTTCCTATTTTTTTTTCCAAAATATTTCTGGCTTTTTGCTGTTACAGAAATGGTAGGGATAATTTTTCTTTAGGATTTTAGACATTGCAGCTTTGAAAGTTTAGAAGGATTTGAAGGCAAGATTTATAGACTCATGATTCTAGTAGATTTGAGAAATATATGACAAAATTAAAAATGTCTCCATGGTATCAACACGTAATGGATGTATTTTACAGAAAGTTTGCAATGAATTTCTTAATTTTTTGAGAACATCTGGAAGAACAATGAAAACATAATATTTGAATGTTTTACTTCTGATACCATAATCTTAACATGGTTATCTTCTCTTTATTTTCTCTACTTTTCACTAGACACAAACATGGAATTTATCAAAAATGCTTCTGTTCTTACCACATGGGCAGGCATTATAGAAAGAGATTTTTTTATTAATAAAGAAATCGAAAACTTACAATTTAAAAGATTCATCTAATATTTCTTAATGCGTCATACACATAGCTGGCACTAGGCGTTTTGACACCTGATGCAATCTCTGTGGATCCTAAATTCTGCTGCCTAGTGCCTTTCTAAATTCTGCTCCCAATGCTTGCTCTAAATTCTAAAAGTCTGCCACATCAACTCTGTAACCGGCCTTTACTATATCTATTTCATATTACTAAAGAAATCAAAATTAGACGCTTTTTCTGTACATTCTAAATGCATTTAATGTTTTTTAGAATAATAGAAATCCTTAATTAACCCTTTGATACACGGTGTTCGTGCCTTGAAACCACCATTTTTCGAATTTTTTTCTCCTCTTTTTCCGAAATTTTTGAGTGAAAATGAATTGATTACTGATCTTTTACATCTAAATAACACAAAATGACTGTAGAATCATATATGTTTTAGGTATTAATACTTCAGATATGATGCCTTTAAAATTTGTTTTCGATGAGACAAAATAACTTCCTTTAAAATAAACAACTCTAAATTTCAAAAGTTAGTCATCGCACATCATGATTTCTATCATAAACAATAAAATATTGCAGTAATTAAACTGCATATATAAAAAAAAAAAAAAAAAAACTTCTACATACCTGCCAACTTTTGCGAATTTTTCGTAATTTTTACGAAAATGTGTTTGTCTTTACGATTTTACGATCGTAATCCATTTTTTACGATTTTTTTTTTTTTTCAAGTGTTTTTAGTGATTTTTGTCGAAATTTTAGAATTTTTTGCCAATTCAGCGATTTTTGCCAATTACCGACTACTTCGAATCCAGTAACCTGCGGTTTCTCCCAACTCGCCGCTTAACCAGCCAATCCAATGCGCTGAACTTGTTTCTTCCTCCACTCTTTTCTTTGTGGGCGCCGAAGATTATTTTTTTCGCGTTTGCTTCACCAGCAAGGCAATTACTGAGCTCGGACTCAGCGAGCATGGATTGTCGCTTTTTTTTTTTTTTTTTTTTTTTTTTTTTTGTTTGTCTGTTTGCATGTGCTACGAATTTTCTTAATACCTCGTTGTTACGAAATGATTCAAAAAAAAAACGTATCTCAAATTTTCGGGCCTGCCTACAAAGCCGTATTTCCAACAATTAAAGAATCCTTCAAGGAAAATAACTAGCCATTTTGCAACGTGTGCGTGTGTGACTTCATAATAAGTCACGGTGGAAGAAGTGCAACATTGTGAAGCATGTTAAGTCTAAAAAAGCATGAAGTTAATGCTTCCGCTTCGACAACGTCAAAGAAAGTGGATGATTTTTTTTCAAATTCAGCTACGAATTCGGATGCTGATGCCCTTTTGGCAGAGTGTTTTTTTTTACTGCATTCCTCATCGAACACAACGTGCCGCTAAGCGCTGCCGATCACGCGATGCACATAGTTAAATGATAGCTGCACTCCAGAATTCAGCATTTTCGGTGTCAATCGATGGCAGCAACGACAGAGATTGGAAGCTTTACCCCATCGTTGTCACATATTTCTGTGATATTTCTAATGAAATGAAAACTCATCTTTTGCATCTTTCATTGTTAAATGGAGACGCTACGTTGGAAAATATTGCCTTCTTGGTAATTAATGAGTTGAAACAACTTAACATCCCAATATCAAACTACATTTCATTTGGTGCAGATAATGCTCATGTCATGGTGGGTGACAAAAAGGGTGTAGCCTCTTTCCTCAAAAAAGAACAAAATGAAATTAATTGTTATTGGATGCCCATGCCACTTAATTAATTTGGCAGCAGAAAAAGCTGGCAGCTGCTTTACCATTAAATATTGACCAGCTTCTGATTGATGTGTTTTTCTATCTGGAAAAAAGTGTAAAAAGGAAAGAAAAAACCTAAAGAATTTCCAAGAACTGTGCTCTGGTGAAACGAGAAAATGAAAATTCTGAAACATGTATGCACAAGATGGTTATCCTTAGGCAGAGCGCTAGGAAGGTTTATTGAACAGTGGGATGCATTGCTAAAATATTTCCACAAAGAGACCAAAACGAAATTACAAATCCCATCAAATTTGTCAGCATATAAGATTCCGAAAAAAAACAAACTTTGCTTCTAATCAAAATGCTTTAAAAGGGAAAAGCCAACACACAGAATCAAACCCTTTAAAAAGAAAAAAAAATGCTTAGAAGACTCCTCAAAGGTCAACTTTGTTAAAGAAGTTGAAGGGAAGAAAAAAGAAACAGAGTCTTCTATTAGCCGTGAGGAAAGGATTTTCTATCTTCTTTCTTCAGGATTTGAACAAAGCATATTGCAGTTTTGTTTGTTAAGTACCATTAAGATTTTTGAAAGTGTTAAATACTCCTTCTACAATCAGCTTCGCCAAAATCTGCCCTGCTGTATCCAAATTCTTAATGATCTTTTGAAAGAACTTTATAACTAAGTTTGTAAAACCGTCCGTTGTGAAAAACAGTGTGTTGATTCGTTATATTGCCTATAATAGTTTGGCAAATCAAAAGGATGACAATGATCTTATAATTGGAAATCAAACCAGGGAACTTGTAAATTTTTTGAAAGATCATGAGAAAAAAAATAATTTTTTCAATGTGTTAGAAAGTACTTTTCCTCAGCCTGTGATTACATTGTAAGGAAG